TGGTGCCAAGCAGTCAAAAACATGAAGCTGACAGAAACAAAACTGTCAATGCAAGTGCAATATCGGGTTATTAAAACTGAAACTTTTTGTCAGTGTGGAGATTTTTAAAATCGCAGGAGTCTGTGTAGTCAAGTTTTTGGCTTTCTTTCGAATGCTACTGACAGTGCTTAATAGGGCATTTTTTTAAACTGTGCATATGGAGATGAGATTTCTTTTTTTGGTTACACTTTAAAATAAGGTTCATTAGTTAATGTTACTTATAATGCATTAATACTAATAATGCAATAATACTAATAATGCATTAGTAAATGTTCAATTATGATTAATAAATGCAGTACAAGTGTTGTTCATAATTAGTTCATGTTAGTAAATGCATTAACTAATGAACCTTATTGTAGTGTTACCCTTTATTTATTTTTTATATGTTTTTTTTAACAAATGAAGGAAACTCAGTTAAGAATATCTGTGCACCTTTGAACATAGTGTCTCGCTCTCTTAAGGATCTTGCTGTTCTTAATATGTTCCAGTGCTGCTATAATTTGCTTTGGTTCACTGTGTGGTTTCTATGGTAAAGGAATTTAATTAAATTCTTGTCATTTAGTTCTTAAGCCCACAATTTATCCTGCTTTCTAAAACTTTAAGGCATCTCAGCGGCTTTTTACTACCCCAGCAACACCTAATATAGTTAATGAGTATAGATCTCCCACGAGGGCCTGGGATAATGGGAGCTTGTTGTGCAGCATAACAATATATTGAAAATGTATAACCTAATGAATACATTCTCATAACTTTTTGATTTGTTATATGGGATGTTTAATTTTTATTTTATTTTATTGTGACTACTTTTTTAATGAGATTACTTCTGTACTGTATGTTTAATTAGCGACACGTTGACTTGGTGGTTAGCAGTGTAATGCAAGAAGGTCACTGGTTTGAGTCACGGCTGGGCCATTAGGCATTTCTGTTTCCTTAGGGTCCTCAGGTTAACCCCACAGTCCAAAGACATGCGCTACAGGTGAATTGAATAAGCTAAATTAGCCTTAGTGTATGTGTGTGAATGTGAGAGTGTGCTGGGTTGTGGCAGGAAGGGCATCCGCTATGTAAAACATATGCTAGAATAGTTGGTGGTGTTCCGCTGTGGCGACCCCAGATAAATAAAGAGACTAAGGTGAAGGAAAATTTTTTAATGAATGAATATACGTTTTAATTAATAGTAAGATTTGTATCATGTCTTCTTTTCTTTAGTAAACAGTTCACGTTTCTTTTAATTAATAATATTATGGTTTATTTTATCATTTGTTCTTCATGAAACTTCTCTTAACGTTTTTTAATATTTAAAAAAAAACAAAATTATTACACCTTTTTCTTAATTTAACCTTTTATCATGTAATCAGTTTGGAATTAATTCAAAAATTGTTGCTATTGACAAATAGTTTGTTGATTTTTAGATTGCTTTGGATAAAAGTATCTGCTAAATTAACAAATGCAGAGATTTCATACATACATTTTCCTTCGGCTTAGTCCCTTATTAATTCATCAGGAGCCACAGCGGAGTGAACCGTCAACTATTCCAGCATATGTTTTACGCAGTGAATGCCCTTCCAGCCGCAACCCAGTACTGAGAAACACCCAAACATTCTTGCATTCATGCTCATACACTACGGCCAATTTAGCTCATCCAACTCACCTATAGCCCATGTCTTTGGATTGTGTGGGAAACCGGAGGATCCGGAGGAAACCATGTTGAGAAGGTGAGAACATGCAAACTCTATACAGAAATGCCAACTGACCCAGCCGGGACTCGAGCCAGCGACCTTCTTTCTGTAAGGCGACAGCACTAACCACTGAGCCACCATTGTGCACTTAAATAACAATAACAGAAAAAAAAAACTAAAATTTCAATCATAATTGAAAATCTAAACTACTAAAAAACAAACAAATGAAACCAAATGAAAGACAGCAAATACAGATTTTTGATTGTTTAGAATATATGTATACAGCTTTATATTTTTCACATCTTCAAGAGACTTTGTTAAAAGAACAAGTTTGTTAACAAAAAAGGTCAATTTTAACAGTATTCATTTATGGATAAAAAAACTTTCCATTGAAAATGATAAATAAATGCAGAGATTTTTTATTATTGCAGAATTTAACATGAATGTGTAAACCAGTGGTCACCAAACTTGTTCCTGGAGGGCCGGTGTCTTGCAGATTTTCGCTCCGACCCTAATCAAACACACCTGAACAAGCTAATCAAGGTCTTACTAGGTATACTTGAAACATCCAGGCAGGTGTGTTCAGGTAAGTTGGAGCTAAACCCTGCAGGGACACCGGCCCTCCAGGACCAAGATTGGTGACCCCTGGTGTAAACAAACAAGCAAAATTGAATTCATTCATTCATTTTCCTTCAGCTTAGTCCCTTTATTCATCAGGGGCTGCCATAGCGGAATGAACCGCCAACTTTGGTTCATTTGGTTTAAAAGCATATGTTTTACACAGCGGATGCCCTTCTAACTGCAATCCAGTACTGGGAAACATCCATACACTCTCATACACACACATACACTATGGCCAGTTTTGTTTATTCAATTTACCTATAGTGTATGTGTTTGGACTGTGGGGGAAACCGGAGCACCCAAAAGAAATTTTTTGCCTTTCAAGGGTTTCCGGAAGAAATAAAGAGAGAAATGCAAAGTTTTTTTTAATTGGGTTTTAACAATACACTCATATTATTAACCATAACATTGGATGATATCAAGTACAATAATAAACAAGGAAATAAATCAATTTAAATAATAAGAAATTAAATAATACTAATAATAAAAAACAGCGTAAAGAGGCAAAATATTTCAGTTAAATAGTATTTACAAAGTCCTTATAAAATTTCACCGTTTTAACTTTTTTTTTTTTACTTTAAAAAATGTTGTAATGTAGTGATTAAACAATTTAAGTTAAGGAAAATTCTGTAAATTGGTAATGATAAAGAAAATTTACATTTGTAAATATGCACTCACCGGCCACTTTATTAGGTACACCTGTCCATCTGCTCGTTTGCACAAATTTCCAATCAGCCAATCACATGGCAGCAGCTCGATGCATGTAGACATGGTCTAGACCAGGGGTCTCAAACTCAATTTACCTGGGGGCCGCAGGAGGCAAAGTCTGGGTGAGGCTGGGCCGCATAAGGGATTTCACAAAAAAAAAGTCCTCAAATGTCATTATTAACAGTTTTAATTATTTCTTCTTAACATGAAGTGTCCTGAACATTAATAGAACATTGAGTGAAGATTATGAACAGTTCTTCTGAACATGGCATCTTTTGCCTACTCCTTACTGCCAGAGACTTGACAGCGCTTCTTCTCACAAATATGAACCACATTTGGCTTTAGAGCGGAAGCAGTTGAGACCCTCAGTATGGCTAGAAGATGATCATCATTAAGTCTAGACCTGTACTTTGACTTATTGAAGTTCAAGGTGGAGAATAACTTCTCACACAAATATGTGCTCCCAAAAAGGCCAAGTCCTAGGGAAAAAAGTGGGGGAACTCACTCAAAACTTCCATTCCCTCACCTAAAAAAAAGGCGTATATATGTATAAATAAAACACCCCCACCCCACTCCAGTCCAGTCACATCAGTCTGTACCAGTCTGTATCTACCTATAATATATATAAAGATGCAGGCTGTAGCTAAGTGGCAGGCAGGGGCGGAAACAGCTTACCTTGGTTTTGGCCGGCGCGAGTTCCCACTTCCCGCCCGTCACAGCGTCTAACAAAGGGGCGGGGTGCGTGGTGACGTCACCGGCATGACCGCCCCTTTGTTTACATGGCGGGCGGGGAATGCCAGTGACCGCTGTGTACGGATAGAATCAGCGGAGCGGGGAGCGCTCTCTGTCTCCCCGCTCCGCTGATTCTGTCAGTGCACAGCGGTCGGCGCGGGCCACAAAATATTGCACTGAGGGCCGCAAATGGCCCGCGGGCCGCGAGTTTGAGACCCCTGGTCTAGACGATCTGCTGCAGTTCAAACCAAGCATCAGAATGGGGAAGAAAGGGGATTTAAGTGACTTTGAATGTGGCATGATTGTTGGTGCCAGACAGACTGGTCTAACTATTTCAGAATCTGCTGATCTACTGGGATTTTAAGGCACAACCATTTCTAGGGTTTGCAGAGAATGGTCTGAAATAGAGAAAATATCCAGTGAGCGGCAGTTCTGTGGGCGTGCCTTGTTAATGTCAGAGGTCAGAGGAGAATGGCTAGACTGGTTCAAGCTGATAGAAAGGCAACAGTAACTCGAATAATGACTTGTTACAACCGACGATGCAGAAGAGCATCTCTGAACACACAACACATCAAACCTTGAGGCGGATGTGCTACAGCAGCAGAAGACCACACCGGGTGCCGCTCCTGTCAGCTAAGAACAGGAAACTGAGGCTACAATTCACACAGGCTCACCAAAATTGAACAATAGAAGATTTGATGAGTCTGATGAGTCTCGATTTCTTCTGCGACATTCGGATGGTCGGGTCAGAATTTGACATCAACAACATGAAAGCATGGATCCAGCCTGCCTCGTATCAACAGTTCAGGCTGGTGGTAAATCCAATAGAACACCTTCGGGATGTGGTGGAGCGGGAGATTTGCATCATGGATGTGCAGCCGACAAATTTGGACCAAAATCTTTGAGGAATAATTCCAGTACCTTAAATAAATATATTTCACGAAGGATTAAGGCAGTTCTGAAGGTAAAAGGTGGTGTACCTAATAAAGTGGCCAGTTAGTGTAATATTTACGCATTAAAATAAAAAAAATGCCTATAAATTCTGTTATGTTTGTCATGAGAAAAGTAATAAGCTATATTGGAAAAATCAATATTAAACTCACATTTTCATGTAAAAAAAAAAAAACAAATCAGACCAAAATACTTCTACGTGAGCATTTGACAAAAAGATTTTCATCCTGGGGTGCGTGCGTGCTGACATCATTTCCTGTTTTTGTTTTTCAGTGGGAATGTTCATGGTTCTTCCTCCTGTGCTGTTCGTTTCTTCTCTTGCTAGTCTGGTCCTACTTCTGGTTGGAAGCTCGTAATGACTATAATGAGTTCAACTGGTGAGTTCAGCTCGTGTTTGGAGGAACCTGCTGTTTTTCAGGGACATCAACTGCTCATTATCTGAACCCTGCTGTGCGCCTGACATCAACACTACCATTGCACATTTCACTGCTTGTTTTACTATAAGTTTAGTAAGGTTAGTAAATAGTTTAAAGAAACGCTTTACTATATAACAAATAAGCTAAATGTGCTTCGGCCAGACCAAAAGATTCAAAAGATGTTAACTGTTTAACTATAGGGTGGTTGTAAAATAAATCTATTTACAAGCAATTGGAGTGAAGATTTACCCATAATTGTATTTCCGAAAACTGTATAGCATAGTTAATTGATCATACTGAGGGCTGTAAAGCATCTTCTCGCTGTTTATGTGAGAGCTGTTGCTGGTTTTGTTCCTCTGGCAGGTTGTTATATAATCGTTCAGCCGTTTGGAAGGATGGCACCGTCCCTATTCTCGCCACAACACTCACAGGACTCACTTACACTGCATTTTTAATGGTGAGCGCTCTTCACACACGCACATGTGACAGAGAAAGACAGCAGTGCAGTTAAACTTTTAATGGCCTTTTAATTGACACATTAACATGGTGAAACTGTGACTAAATGTTTGTTCACTATTGTGGACGAATACTTTTGCATTTGTGTTTTAAGAGTTTAACATCAGCTTCTTTAAATGTCACACATCCATTTACTCTCTATCAATTCTTTCTTCTAACTATCCAAAACTGTATCCATTCATCTATATAATCTTTCATCCTAGTTTTTGCTTTGATCCATCCATTTCTCCATCCTTCCTCATGCAATTTTTTGCATCCATCCAATTTCTACATCTCTTTTTTTGTCACTCTATCCACCCATCCTCTATAGCTCTCTATCATCTATTCAGTCTCTATTTAATCTTCTGTGCCTATCTCTCTGTATCTATCTATACATCCATCCATTTAACATCAGTCTGTTCAACCTCTTTATTTGTCTGTCCATCCATCCATTCATCCATCTATATAATCTCTCTAACCCAGTAAATCTGTTCATCCATCATCTCTATCTGTCTTTTCAAATGTCCAACCAGTTTTTCTAATTCTTTCATTCATCCATCGATCTGATATTTCTTTATTTCCATCCATCAATCCAATATTGATTTCTGCGTCTTCATAAATCCATCCAACCATCCAAGCATGAATCCAAGCATCCAACCATCCATCCATGCATTCATCCTTGCATTTATCCAACCATCCTAGTGTCGATCCATCCACGCATCCATCCATGCATACAACTCTGCATCCAGACATCCAGACATCCATCCATGCATCCATCTATCCATCCACACATCAATCCAACCACACATCCATGCATCAATCCATTTGTGCATGCATCAGTCCACGCATCCATCCATCTATCCTTGGATCAACCTTGCATCTGTCCAACCATCCATGCATCCATCCATCCACCCAATCATCCAGGCAATTAACCATCCATCCAACCCATCAGGCATTCAACCACCCATCCACACATCCATTCAACCATGCATAGAACCATCCACCCATACATGCATCTAACCATCCATGCATGCGTGGATGCATCCATCTATCCATCCATCCACACATCCATGCATCCGTCCATCCCTGCATACATTCATCCATCTATCCATCCACACATCCATGCATCCGTCCATTCCTACATCCATCCATCCATCCATCCATCCATGCATCTATCTATCCATCCGTCCACATCCATGCATCCGTCCATTTATGCATCCATCTATTTGTACATGCATCAGTCCACGCATCCATTCGTCTATCCATGCATTCAATCTTGCATCTATCCAACCATCCTTGCGTCCAACCTTTCATCCATCCATCCATCCAGGCATCCAACCATGCATCCAACCATCCATCCATGCATGCACCCATCCATCTATTCATGCATCAATCTATTTGTGCATGCATCCATCCATCCAACAAACCATGCATCTAACCATTCATCCATCCATCCATCCATCCATCCATTTGTGCATGCATCCGTCCACACATGCATGCATCCAACCTTGCATCCATCCATCCATCCAACTATCCATGCCTCCGTCCATCCATTCATGTATTTATGCATGCATCCATCCATCCATCCATGCATCCAACTTTGCATCCATCCATCCAACCATGCATCCATCTATCCATGTATCCATGCATCCAACCATTCATGCATCCAACCATCCATCCATTCATGCAATCATGCATCCAACCATTTTTTATTCATGCATCCAACCATCCATTCATTCATGCAATCATGCATCCAACCATTTTTTATTCATGCATCCAACCATCCATTTATTCATGCATCCAACCATCCACTCATTCATCCACCCAACCATCCATTCATGCATTCAATCATTCATCAAATAATACAAAATAAAAATAATTCATTCAACAATCAAATAATGCTTAATTCTTTATTCTCGTTTTCACAGATTCTTGCACTTTGTCACATTGCACTTGGGCAGCAGCTGAACTTATACTGGATCCATAAGGTGAGTCTGAACCGCTACATTTGCCTAAATTCTAAATCTAGATCGGTTGTGCATTAACACCGGTTTTATTTCCTCAACACAGATCGCAGTCTTGGCTGTTTTTCTCACCACCATAACAGGAGTGGTGTCCATTGATGATTTCTGGCAGGACGAATGGGACATCGTCATCATTTCACTACAGGTTGGATCGGCGTATTCAGTCTTTGTTTACATCAGGTTTTCAGAGGGATTTTAAGTGTAATCCTGCTGGTGTAGTTCACAGGGCCGTTCCTGCACATTGGAGCTTTAGCAGCGGTCACAGCACTCGGGTGGGTCATCGCCAGTCAGGTGGTACGTGGAGAAAGATCAAGTGAGTTAAAGATCATGTGAGGAAAAAAACTCTAGTGTTGCTCTGTCTACATTATTTCACATGCAATCATCCCAAAACAGCAGGAAGGTCTACAAAAATATTACCATATTTCCAAATGTTTCTAAAGCATAATATCATTATAGGCGGCACGGTGGTTCAGTGGTTAAAACTGTTGCCTCACAGCAAGAAGGTCCCTGTTTCGAGTCTTGGTTGGGTCAGTTGGCATTTCTGTGTGGAGTTTGCATGTTCTCCCCATGTTGGCGTGGGTTTCCTCCGGTTGCTCCAAAAGACGTGAGCTATAGGTGAATTGAATAAACTAAATTGGCCATAGTGTATGAGTGTGAGAGTGCATGGGTGTTTTTCCCAGTACTGGGTTGCAGCTGGAAGGACATCCACTGTGTAAAGCAAATGCTGGAATAGTTGGCGGTTCATTCCACTGTGGCAAACTCTGATAAATAAGGGACTAAGCTGAAGGAACATGAATAATAATAACATGAATGGATATCAGCATATTAAAAGGATTTATTGCATGTTAAATATTATATTCACAGCGTATTAAAGTGAATCTTGTGATACTGTAGGCTGGAGAAAACATTTCATTACATGAATGAAATGCATTTTAAAATATATTCAGATAGTAAATAGGTATTTTAAATTGCAATATTTTAGATTATTTATGATTTTACTGTGTTTTTGGTGAGATAAATGTGGCCTTGATGAGCAGAAGTGTGTTTTTATTGCATGTTGGTCCAGGATTTCAGGTTTTAAGACCAAAAAATCTAAAAAAGGACAATATTTCCAAATGTTTCTTTAGGCATCAAATCATTTTAATTATTTATTATTATCATTTTCATTATTATGATTAATATATATTTTCATTATTATTATTATTATTATTATTATTATTATTATTATTATTATTATTATTATTATTATTATTATTATTATTATTATTATTTTCATTATTATTATTATTATTATTATATTTTCATTATTGTTATTTTTATTACTATAATTATTATAATTATTTTCATTATTATTATTACTTTTAATATTATTATTATTAATATTTATTATTATTATTATTATTTGCATTATTAATATTATTATTAGTAGTAGTAGCAGCAGTAGTAGTAGTAGAAGTAAATTATTTGTAATCTGGTTTATTTTTTCTTAACTGTATTAAATTGTGCCATAAGTTAAAAAAACATTATAAATTCAGTCATTTTAAGCCACAAATATATATATATATATATATATATATATATATATATATATATATATATATATATATATATATATATATATATATATATATATATATATATATATATATATATATGCCCTTAAAAAATCCCGGAGGGACTGCTTTTTTTAATTAAATTGTAATTAATTATTTAATTAAAAAAAATTTTATCATTATTTATTTTATCTTCTTTCTTTTTAACAATTTTTAATTTTAAATATAAAGCAAACTTTGTTTAGTTTTTTTTTCCTTTTTGAATTATTTAATTCATTTTCCTTCAGCTTAGTTCTTTTATTCATCAGGGGACACCACAGCGGAATGAACTCTTTTTTTTTTTTTTTTTTTTTTGCTTTTATTATTAGATAGGACAGTATTGAGACAGGAGTGGAGAGAGAGAGGGGGTAGGGTAGGGAAATGTCATCGAGCCGGGATTCGAACTCGCGATGCCCTGATGTGTTATTGCACCATATGTCGGCGCGCTAACCACTAGGCTATTGCACCGACAGCGGAATTAACTCTTAACTTATCCAGCATATGTTTTCATATGAAGCTGCAATCCAGTACTGATAAACATCCTTACACACTCATTCACAAACATACACTATGGCCAACTTATGTTCTTTAATTCACCTGTAGTGCATGTCTTGGGGAAACCGAAACACCCAGAGGAAACCCATGCCAACACAGGGAGAACATGCAAACTCTACACAGAAATGCCAACTGACCCAGCCGAAACTCGAACCAGCGTCCTTCTTGCTGTGAGGTGACAGTGCTAACCACTGAGCCATCGTGTCACCCCTTTTTTGAATAATTTGTACTTTTTTTATCATATCTTTGATGATATTTTTCATGGTAGCTCACTCTTTTTAACACACTCACCTGTCTGCATGTTTGTCCAGGGCTCCAGGTTGTAACTCTGGCGGTTTATGCGCTCATTCTGCTGGTTTTGTATGTGGTTCCACTCTTCATCTCCTCTCCCTGCATTATGGACCGCTCCAAACTGGGTCCACGTCCTGCTGTCATTGGCCGTCGCGGCGCTCCAATGGTGAGTTTCATAAGAGACCTGCATCTGTGACGGGTTTATTTGTGGCTTCCAGTTAGAAAGATCTGAAAGGATTAAAAGCGACACACACTCTAAACATTAAGCTGATTGTATGATGATGATGCTTAAACTTGTCTTGACTTCCTCTGAGGGTTGTTAACTCTCATTATTACTCTCTCTCTCTCTCTCTGTCAGCTCGCTCCAGAACACACTCTCATGTCCTTCAGTAAAGCACTGCAACAGAAAGTGACTGCACTGGAAGCAGATGTTGCAATCAGGTATTTAATTTGATTTATTTTCTTTTGTTTAAATTGATCATCGCTTTTTCAGTCCCTCCAGGATTTCCAGAAAGCACAATGTGTTTGACATCAAAAAAGAGAAATATATTTAAAAGGTTTTTGTGCTTATTTCACAGCAAAACGCAAGAATTATAAATAATGCCAAAGTAAAACCAGTAATTTTAGGCCACAGATATATCAAAATATTCCCTGCAAAATCTTAGAGGGACTGCTTTTGTTAATACAACATTTATTACATATTTTTCATTTTAAATTATTTGTAATCTGGTTTATTTTTAATGTTTTAAATTTTACAATAAATAAACTTTTAATTTAATTTATATTTTCTTTTTGAATTACTTGTAATATGTTTTAAACTTCTTATAACGTTCTGAATTTAATTTAAAACTTATTTTATTTGATCGTTTTTCTTTATGAGAAGTTTCATAATGGTCTTGATTTCTTATTTATTTTATCTTAATTAAATTTTTTTTTGTTAAATTATTACATTTTTTAATTAATAAAAATGTTTTTTGTTATTTTATTTTAATTAAAAAAATTTTATTAAATTATTTGTAGTTAATTTTAATTAATACGTATTTTATTTTACCTGTTTTCTTCATGAAACGTTTCAAACCCGTCTTGATTTTTTTCTTTTTTTTATTTAAATTAAATTATTTTTAGTTAAATTATTTTCTTTTAATTAATACTAATTTAATTTTATCCTTTTTCTTTAAGAAAAATGTCATACATAACTTGATTCCTTATTGATTTTATTTAAATAATTTTGAATTAATTAATTTTATTTAATGCTAATATTATTTTACCTTTTTTCCTTTATAAACATAAAATTTTTTTGGTATTTTATTTAAATTTAATTATTTAAATTTAAATTTATTTTAGTTTAGTTATTTTATTTTAATTATTAAATATTTTATTTGACAGTTTTTCTTTATGAAATATTTCATACCTGTCTTGATTTTACCTTTTTCTTTAAGAAACATTTCATAACCGCCTTGATTTATTTTTTAAATTAAAATATTTTAATTAAATTGTTTTTAGTTCAATTATTTTATTATGACTAATATGTATTTTATCTTACAGTTTTCCTTAATGAAACCATTATACCTGATTCTTAATAATTTTAGTTCAATTATTTTTTGTAAATTGTTTTATTTTAATTAATACTTATTTTATTTGACCTTTTTCTTTATGAAACAGTTCATACCCATCTTGATTTCTTAATTATTTTATTTTAATTATTTGTAGTTAAATAATTTTATTCTAATTGATACTTATTTTATTTGACCTTTTTCTTTATGAAACGTTTCATAACCATCTTGAGTTATTAATTATTTTAACTAAATTAGTCTTTTTTTCATAAACATCCCATGCCTTTTTGAATGAATCGTAATCTGCTTTATTTATTTATTATTGTTTTTATTTGTTTATTATTCGTAAACTAATGGCAGCCACTCTGATTGGCTCTCAGTCATCAGACTCGAACATGATTGGCTGTTTTTATCTTCTCTTCAGTTTGGATGGAGTGCCCTTTCTGATGAGGGATCGCACTCTTCGTCGGACCACCGATGTGGACAGGCTATTTCCAGCCCGTCAGGACACCGACGCCTCATTCTTCAACTGGACAGAGATTCGCAGTCTCAATGCTGGACTCTGGTTCCTCAGGGTATTGAATGCAGTTCCTTAAGATGCACCATTTGGCAATCTAAAAAAGCAATTTAGCTGTTTTCGCTCTTGTTTGCTCTAACCTCCTAGGGCTTAGTGGCCACATACGTGGACAGCACATTTTAGCTCTTATTTGAAATACTTTGAATATTTTTATATTTTGTTACAAACATACAGTGTCATCCTGCAACTGTTTTGCAGCATATGAAGTGTCCCAAACATTAAAAAAATTAGGTTTTTACTCTCTGATAGTGAAAACATGTTCAATTAAAATTATTTATTATATATGCATATATAATTTTATTTATGTTATATATGCATATATAATTTATTTTATTACGTCTCGTCTAGATTTTTGTAACTCTTTATTTGGGGGTCTGCCAGCCAATTCACTTAAGATCTTACAATATGTTCAAAACTCAGCCGCACGTGTGTTAACTCACACATCATCTCGCACTCACATTACTCCTGTTCTTCAGCAGTTACACTGGTTGCCTGTAAAGTCACGCATCGATTTTAAAACCTTGATTTTAACTTACAAAGCTGTTTATGGTTCTGCACCTGATTATATATGTGACCTGATATCAACCTCTTCATCCTCTCGCAATCTACGTTCTGCTTCGGGGCTCGCCTTGTATCAGCCCCGTTGCAAACTTAGCAGCATGGGAGGCAGGGCTTTCTCTTATCGTGCACCTAAATTGTGGAATGCTCTCCCCACAAACATCAGAAACGCCAGTTCCCTGGACTGTTTTAAGAAACTTCTTAAAACTCATCTTTTTATTATTGCTTATAACTTGAGGCCTTCTTTTAATATGTATATTTTCATCATTATTATCATTCTTACTTTTTTGTGTATTTCATGTTCTTCTGTGTGTTGATGCTCTTGTTAGCGCTTTGAGTTTGAGAAAAGCGCAATATAAATAAATGTATTATTATTATTATGCATAAAAAAACAGTCAGGAATAAGTATTTTATGTAAATTCGGTCCACAAGTCCACATATATGGACATCATTTTTCTCTAAAAGTATATCATATCAAGAAATGATACTTAGGTTTTATTCTAATTAGGTTCCAATAAGGGTGACGCAGTAGGTAGTGTTGTCGCCTCACAGCAAGAAGGTCACTGGTTCGAATCTTGGCTCGGCGCAGTTGGCGTTTCTGTGTGGAGTTTGCATGTTCTCCCTGCGTTCGCGTGGGTTTCCTCCGGGTGCTTCAGTTTCCCCCACAGTACAAACACATGCAGTACAGGTGAATTGGGTAGGCTAAATTGTCCGTAGTGTATGAGTGTGTGTATGAATGAGTGTGTTCAGGGCTCGAAATTAACTTTTTTACTTGGTAGCAGCGGTGCTCCCAACTTCGAATGTTTAGGAGCACCAAAATAAATTTAGGAGCACCAGAAAAAATTTAGGAGCACCCACCAAAACTGAATGAGCACCGCTGCAAATTGCTTTTTAAGGGATTTATTGTATTTTAAAACAACATCAATAGGACTGACAAAAACCAGAAACAACTATCTAACTAATGCTGCGAAGACATTGATATTTGTGTGCAATAATTCCAAAATGAATGTCTAATAATTATAGAATATTAATGATGATGAAAATGACAATAATAGTAACAATGAATTACATTTCTCATTATGATACTGCCTTAAATGTGCGTGAATGTAGGTTATCTGCTATAAAAAAAATGTTACTTTATGAAAAATAATTGTATAGTTTGCATTAAACAAAAATGAAGCTTTGCAGTAAGAAATATTTATTTTGTACTGCTGTTTTTATATGCATGTCAATTTAATAACTAATATTTCTGCTACAAAACAAACAAAAGATTATAATAAATCATTCAATTCAATGATGAAAACTGCAAAGCAGTCATCAGTAAGTAAATTTAAAAAAATAATATACACCTCAAAAAAGAATAGACAAAAGAAAGTAAGTAAAGTCTCACTTCTATCACTCTTTAAAAGTTTTGGTTTCAGTTTGTGTCAATTTAAAGGTTCAGTCTAAACTGATCTTCAAGTTTCTGTGTTAGTGGAAAAGCTGGCGAGTCAGCCGACCCAATTTATGAGCAGGAAGCGCAAGATTCTTGCGATGACCACCGGCGCAAAACCGCTCTTTGTTATGAGCCGCAGTTTCAGTGTAAACTTAGTAAAGGCGAGCTTCTTTGGCGATGATATGTACAGTATTAGATTTGACTTTTAGCGGACATTTGCGCTGAACACGCAGTGAATGCGACGCATGGAGATTCGGGCGCCTTCTCCAAGAAGCGCATACTCGATTGATCTCAGCTGGTGGATCATTATTCACCACGTGACGTGTCATGATCACTCTCATCTGCGCCTCAATTTTAGGTGGGGTTTGCAAACCTGTGTGCTTTAAGTTTTTACTCTTCACCCTTTTGCATTTCCCGTGGTCATAAAAGCTCCTTCCCTGACATCTGACAGCGGAATACCTTGAGTGATTGACAGCTAATTTGAACCAACATAGTGGCAGGGAAGAGCGATTCAGCACGTTTTTACAAAAAATCAAAACAGGTCGCACTACAACCATTATCTGCAGTCGCACTAATGCTCCCAAATATATTATGAGGTCGCATAGATTAATTTTCGGGCGCATATGCGACCAAAACGGTCGCAATTTCGAGCCCTGGTGTTGATGTTTCCCAGAGGAAGGTTGCGGCTGGAAGGGCATCCGCTGCGTAAAAACATGCTGGATAAGTTGGCAGTTCATTCCACTGTGGCGACCTCGGATTAATAAAGGGACTAAGCCGACAAGAAAATGAATGAATGAAGGTTCCAATAAGCCCAAATAGCAAAGAGAAATAAAAAATGCATGTAAAAAAACACCTTGGGCCTTAAGAGGAATCTATTATGCCCATTTTTACAACATGTAAAAGAAGTCTCTGATGTCCCTAGTATATGCATGTAAAGTTTCAGCTCAAAATAGCCCACGAATAATGTATTACAAGTCGTTGAAACTGACCCTTTTAGGCTTTGAGCTACATTGTGTGGTTTTAGTGAATGTCGCTTTAAATTCAAAATAATTAAAAAGAGGGCGGAGCTACAAACATGCATCAGCACAGTGGCAGATTCAAATCAGGATTAATGTTATCTCTGTGAAAAAAAGAAAAATGTCAAAACAAGTGGCTCGGAAGAAGGCAGTCTATAGTGTGACTACAGTGTTTCTACACAATTGTACATTTATTATGCCTCTTAATGGCTGACATTATCTTGAGCACTCCAAAACACTTATGGCGGACAGCTGCTTGTTACTCAGGGCTGTCTATGCTAATTAGGGAGAGATCGCCAATAATGGGCGGGGCTTTCTCCCTCTGATGACACGTACAAAGTGTTTCTGCAGACTGTTTTTATCAAGTGTGACTATAAAAAATAGAATTAATTAATCTTGTAAATAATGTAGCATCATTTCTCACAGGTAAAGGCAAATCATTGTGATTTTACTCTATATTTTGCAATTATACAATTTAATAAAAGTAATAATAGTAATTATTATTATTATTATTAATAAAGCTAGTGATGAGTTGCTCATTCATAAGGGAATGCCATTATTCCTGCTGTACTAAAAGCGCCTCCTACAGGCAGAATGTGTATTTACAGTTTTATTTACACTTTTATTTGTTTATTTATTTATTTACTTTTATATTTTGGAATTATACAATTTATTAATAATGATAATAATAATAATTGGGCGAACAGGCGTAGTGTTTCCTAGAGATGGGTTGCAGCTGGAAGGGTACCCTCTGTGTAAAACATGTGCTGGATAAGTTGGCGGTTCATTCAGCTGTGGCAACCCCAGATTAATAAAGGGCCTAAGCCAAAACAAAAATGAATGAACGAATGAATAATAATAATTATTATAATAATAAAAACAGAAATCAAAATCATTCATTCACTCATTTTCCTTCAGCTTAGTCCCTTATTTATCAGGTGTCGCCACAGCGGAATGAATCGCCAACTATTCCAGCATATGTTTTAAGCAGTGGATACCCTTCCAGCCACAACCCAGTACAGGGAAACACCCATCCATTCACCCATGTGTTTACGCACTTATACACTAAGGCCAATTTAGTTTACCCAATTCACTTATAGCGCTTGTCTTTGGACTCGAACCAGCGACCTTCTTGCTGTGACAGTGCTAACCACTGAGCCACCGTGCCACTTCAGAATCATCCATTTAAAAATAAAATAAAATCATGATTGGAGCATCACTAGTGATTTCCTCCTCATGCTGAATGTTCAGATTCAGAACTGATGAAGGACTGATTGTTGTCCCTCAGGATGACCCGTACTGGACAGTGCAGTACATGTCGGAGAAGGACCGCAAGCGTGCGGGTAATCAGACGGTGTGCAGCCTGGCAGAGCTGCTGCGTGTGGCTGCAAGAGCGAACCGATCGGTGATCTTCAGCCTCCGCCGGCCTCCACCAAACCATCCCAGACACCAGCTGTGGGTCAGTGATGCACTCAAGGTCATCCAGAGGTCCAGCATCCAGCCGGAGCAGGTCAGAGCACAGCCAGCACCCAAATCCAGTTGAAGTCAGAATTATTAGCCCTCCTGAATATTGTTTTCCCCAATTACTGTTTAACAGAGAGCAGATTTTTTTCAACACATTTCTAAACATGATAGTTTTAAAAACTCATTTCTAATGACTGATTTATTTTATCTTTGTCATGATGACAGTACATAATATTTGACTAGATATTTTTCTAGTATTCACCTTCAAGTGACTTGTGAAGGCTTCTCTGCTCTTTTGCTTATTTATTAATGATTTGCCTAAATATTTTTCTGCCAGATTCAGCTTTATGCCGAAGAAACTGTTATTTATTTTTCCCCCTCTGATATTTCATATTCAACCTTTTTTGCAGTTAGACTACTTTAATTCATGAATGGTTTATTAAAAACAAACTTATACTAATTAAAAATTTGCGTGTGTGTGTGAAGGTAATGTGGACACCAGACTGGTACAGGAAGAAGGTGCGTGCGGCGGTTCCTCTTCTTCAGCAGACAACAGATGAGAAGCTTCCAGTGGCGGAGCTGAAGGAGAGAGGAATCACAACATTGACGTTACACTACAGCCAAGCCAGAGCTCAGGAGATCAGGTACACACACACACACACACTGCAGGGAGCTTCACTGCAGTGTATGCACCAGCTGTGTTGGGTAAAATAAGTAATATAGTACAATTATACACCTGTTTTACTCTTTAAAATAAAACAGACTGCATAAATAGCATAATACATACATAATAATCTGTTCCCTTCATCCCAGGGGCATGAAATTCTGTGTCTTTTCCTGAATAATATATCTAAAATAAAACACAAAAACTGGACCTGATTTGGTCATTCTGTAGGTCACTGTTTAGTTTCCTTGGGACAACATTGAAAAGTAGGGAAAAGTGAAAAGAAAAACAGATTTAGATTAATTTGTCCAAACAAAATAGTAATAATTACAAATGTTATTCCTTGTTCAAAAATGTAATCATTCGTAATGAACTATGCTCTGAAATAAATATATAAAATATAATAAATATAATTTAAAACATACATACCAGCCACTTAATTAGGTTCACCTGTCCAACTGCTCGTTAACGCAAATTTCTAATTAGCCAATCACATGGCAGCAACTTGGTCGAGACGATCTGCTGCAGTTCAAATCGAGCATCAGAATGGGTAAGAAAGGTGATATAAGTGAATTTGAACGTGGCATGATTATTGGTGCCAGAGGGGCTGGTCTGAATATTTCAGAAACTGCTGATCTACTGGGATTTTCACGCACAACCATCTCTAGGGTTTATAGAGAATGGTTGGAAAAAGGGCTACAGCAGCAGAAGACCACCACAGGTGCCACTCCTTTTAGCTAAGAACAGGAACCTGAGGCTAATTCACAGAGGCGGTGAGCTGTAGCCCGTCCGCCTCAAGGTTAGATGTGATGTGTGTTCAGAGATGCTCTTCTGCAGACCTCGGTTGTAACGAGTGCTTATTTGAGTTACTGTTGCCTTTCTATCAGCTTGAACCAGTCTGGCCATTCTTCTCTGACCAAACGGCATAATAGAAGATTGGAAAAACGTTGCCTGGTCTGATGAGTCTCGATTTCTGCTGCGACATTCATATGGTAGGGTCAAAATTTGGCGTCAACAACATGAAAGCATGGCTCCATCCTGCCTTGTATCAATGCTTCAGGCTGGCGGTGGTGTTGTAATGGTGTGGGGGATATTTTCTTGGCACACTTTGGGCACATTAGTACCAATTGAGCATTGTGTTAATGCCACAGCCTATGTGAGTATTGTTGCTGATCATGTCCATCCCTTTATGACCACAGTGTACCCATCTTCTGATGGCTACTTCCAGCAGGATAACGCACCATGTGATCAAGAACAAATAATTTCAGACTGGTTCCTTGAACATGACAATGAGTTTACTGTACTCAAATGGCCTCCACAGTCACCAGAGCTCAATCCAATAGAGCACCATTGGGATGTGGTGGAATGGGAGATTGGCATCATGGATATGCAGCCGACAAATCTGCAGCAACTGCAACAGCAACTTGACTATCATGTCATTTCCAGTACTTTGTTGAATCTATGCCATGAAGGATTAAGGCAGATCTGAAGGCAAAAGGGGGTCCAACATGGTACTAGTAAGGTTTACCTATTAAAGTGGCCGGTGAGTGTGTGTGTGTATAAAAATAATGTGGAGAGACGTTTTCTTAAGCAACAAGAAAAATGAACTGAAAATATTGAGTGTCTCTATTGCCCTCTGCTGGATATTTGTGGTAATTGCGCTTTATTATTATTATTATTTTGTCCTTATCTTTAATTATCATTTTTTTATAATAATACAAGGTAATATCCATAAGCTTTTATATTGAATTTAGGTCAGAATTTCAGTGATGAAAAAAAATCTAAAAGAACTTTTTAATAAGCCAAATTATGGTGTAGCTGCAATTTTGTGTAAAACCCATAATAATAAAATAATAAAACCCACCAACACCGTACAAATACATAGTTAAGAAATAAATGTAAAAAATTAGACATCATATTTTTTTTTCAAATGTAATTGGTCTGTAAATGTTAAGTGTTCTGTAAAATTGTGACGTTTTTTTTTTTTCTTGGCTACTCTAAGGTTAATTAATTGGTTAATATACCTTGCAGTTTTATTCTGTAATGCTGAGCCATTTTTCTTTCTCTCTCTCTCTCTTGTTGTGTTGAGCAGGCAGTTCTCTGTCAGTAATGTGAGTGTAAACGTGTATCCGGTGAACGAGCCGTGGCTTTATTCGCTCATGTGGTGCAGCGGCGTTCAGTCCGTCTCCTCTGACGCTCCACACATCCTGAAGAAAGTGCCTCGTCCCATCTGGATCATGGTACTGATCACTCTCTGAGTCCCCGTACACAAACACCTTCAACATATATGAGCTCACCCCTCAAAAATCTCTTTTTTAAATTCATATTGTTAAATAGGAAGCTTTACAATATTATATTTGTGCACATACATTAGATTAGTCAGTGCTGAAGCCAAATGTGAAGCTAATCTAACAAAATAACTTAAGATAGCTCAAAAATTGTAGCCCAAATTTATATGTTAGGGAACAATATTAAATAAAAAAAATGTAAAAAGAGTCAAATTCAAGTGAAACAAAAAATCTCATTTTGTTAAATCAAATTTTGTAGTTTTTTCCCAATATTTCACATAAATTTAATTGTATTATCTTTCTATTATTAAACATGTTCAATCACTAATATTAAAATAATATTATTTTAATAAATATATCTGTTTAAACAATCTGTTTTGTTCAAATGCTCTAAAATATATGACCTATATTCACTGAGAAATGGATAAAAATATTCATTTTCAAAATGTGGTGTACTCATATATGCTGTGCACTGTAGAAGCAGCTCCGCACAGATCTAAAACGGCTGCCCTTCCTGTTCATTTCATGACTAATTTGATTATTCCAGCAGCTTTCAAGGAATATGGAGTGAATGTAACACATTTTATATCTTACGTCCCACACAATCTGCAGATTTACCTTTAAAAACAACACTGACATTTTGATATATGCTGGTAGATTTCACTTTGGCAGGCAAAATCAGTAATCTGGGACTGTGATATAATGCAATAGTTGCATATATTTGTGTCAGCGAATGAAAACTGTAATGCAAAGGATTGTGGAAAATATCAGATGCAAAAAAACATGCATACATAAAAAATGCTCTGGAAATAGCACATCATGTAAACATGTTTGACAGTATTTATATATATATATATATATATATATATATATATATATATATATATATAATGAATTTATATATTAAACAGGTTAAGAAGTCTGTCTGTTTTTATATAAGCATTTTTTTGTGTGTATATGCGGATATCAAATCTTTTTTATTTTACATTTTAATTCATTTTATAATTTATAATATAATAATATAATATAATATAATATAATAATATATAAAATGACTTTATAGACTAAACGGGTGATATAAAAAAACTTGTCCGTAATTCTAATCTTGCATTTTATTATTTGTATGATTATATAAAATCTTAGTTATTTTATTTTGTATTTTATTTAACTAAAAAAAAAACATTTTATTTTATTTCATTTCAAATAACACATCATGTAAACATTTTTGAGCATATTTTTGACTGAACAAATTAGACAACATCTATGGTATTATATTATAATATAATATAATATAATATAATATAATATAATATAATATAATATAATATAAGTATAAAACAGATTATATAAAATACATTTATAAATACTAAATTAGATTATATAAAAAAAACTTTCATAATTCATGGCATTTTATTTATTTATTTTTATTTTCCTAAGGATTTTTGTGCATGTATATGCTGATATAAAGTATTTTTTGTTTCATTTTATAGATTTAATTTAGTTTTGTTTATTTTGCATAGCACAATATGTAAACATGTTTGACAGTATTTTTGACTAAAGAAATCAAACAGCATCTATAATATAATGAATATAATTATTAAAAACGTAGCTATATAATGAATTGATATACCAAACAGGTTACTTTTTCATAATTCTAATTTGGCATTTTATTATTTTTTTATACGTTTTTTGTACGTGTATGTGGTGATTATGAAATCTTTTTTATTTAATTTTATGTTTTTAAATTAATGTAATTTTATTCTACATGATTTGTCCTCCTCAGATCCTCTTTTATGCATTAATATTAATACATAATAAATAAATAAATAAATGCTTTTGTCGTTTGTTTTTGTTGTCTGTAGAGCGCAGATGAATACGGCCTGATATGGATCACTTCAGATTTAATCTCCATTGCTATTGTTGTTGGCATTTTCATATTTCAGAAGTAAGTTGAACTTTTATCATTTCTCAATACTTGATTTAACACAACACAATGCGGAGTGGATGCGCTTCTGCAGTATCAGTACTGGCTTTTAAACGCTGGATTGGATGATTCTGCCTCTCATATGACCCCCTCTGCACGAACGTCTGTCTAATTCTGAGTGCAGTCTTTGGCATTAATGTCAGCTTTGTTTAGTAGTTAGCGTGCTTGCTGCATCTAGCGCTTCTCAACTGATGCCTGTGCTCTTTTCTCCTTCTGTGATCTCTCTTTTCCTCTGTTTTCTGCTCTTTGCATGCATCTGTCTGCTGCTGCACGCTCAGCTTTCACCTGATCAGGTAATTGATGAGTATTTTAGCAAAACTACAAACTTTATATGTACGTGCTGTTTTGGGGTCTTGATTTGTTGAGCTTCCATTTTTGTCTGTGTGTCTTCTTTGTCGTCTTTTCATATGTTTTTGTTCTAGTATAGCAGCTACAGTTGAAGTCAGAATTATTAGTTAATTATTAATAATTTTTTTCCAAATGTTTCTGAAGTGAAGTGTATTTATAAACTCATTTCGAGAGGATAACATGCTTATGATTGATCACGGCTGGCCCCGCATTATTCAATTCATGATTCACCAATCAGTGGATTCCTAAGTCTCTATGAATAACCTAAGTTCCATATCATAGTCATCTTCGTTATGAAGAGTTCCCCCCTTCCACCCCTACGCCTATTGGTTAGCACTGTTGCCTCCTAGCAAGTATGTCTTTGGTTCTAGTCCTTACCAAGCCAGTTGATGTTTCTGTGCGGAGTATACATGTTCTCCCTGTGTTCGTGTGGGTTTCCCCCCGTTTCCTCCCACCATTTAAAAACATTCAACTTAAGTTAATTGACTAATCCAAATCAGCCCCATAGACATGCTCCTAGTAAGTAGTTATCTCTTCATAACAGCCCCTAACTGCACACTAGCCTCAAACAACGAGTTCTCGAGATCAACCTGAGCTCAAACTTCCTTCTCACCCTGGAAACGGGAAGGAGCCCCGGGCTTGAGGATCTTATGAGCTCAGGGCTTTATTTTTTTTTTTAAGGTCAATATTATTAGCCCCCTTATCATTATACATTGATTTGCCTAATTAATAATAATAATAATAATTCCTTACATTTATATAGCGCTTTTCTGGGCACTCAAAGCGCTTTACACAGTGGGGGGAATCTCCTCATCTACCACCAGTGTGCAGCATCCACCTGGATGACGCGACGGCAGCCATTTTGCGCCAGACCGCACACCACACACCAGCTGATTGGTGGAGAGGAGACAGTGATGCAGCCAATTGAATATGGGGATGGTTAGGAGGCCATGATAGACAAAGGCCAGTGGGCAGATTTGGCCAGGATGCCGGGGTTAAACCCCTTCTCTTTTCGAAGGACATCCTGGGATTTTTAACGACCACAGAGAGTCGGGACCTCGGTTTAACGTCTCATCCGAAAGACGGCGCTCACTGAGCAGTATAGCGTCCCCATCACTATACTGGGGCATTAGGACCCACACAGACCGCAGGTTGGGCGCCCCCTGCTGGCCTAACCTGCCTAGTTAGGGTTAGTGTAATGTTTGTTGTGGTTTTTGATTTTTGATAGGGTCGTGTTTGAATTTGTATGTTGCACTTTGCACGAAGTTCACTAATGAAACTGCCTGTGATTTGTCCATTTCTGTGCGTCATTAACAGATGGTGAATTTAATATTTGCTCTTTCCGTGAGAAAAATGCTATAGGGCTCTATTTTGACGGTCCATGCGCAGAGCAAAAAAAACGCAGGGCGCAAACGATATCAGGGCGTGTCAGAACGCGTTTTTGCTAATTTAAGGACGGGAAAATCTGCTTTGCGCCGTGGCGCATGGTCTAAAAGGGTTGAGTTTATCTTCTTAATGAGTTATAGGTGTGTTTTGAGAATAAACCAATTAGAGTCTCATCTCCCATTCCCTTTAAGAGCCAGCTGCGTCAGAGAATCTACTGCGTGAGAATGAGAGGTAATGGATCTACTTTCACATTCGCTCGTGGATAGGGAAACCTTTACGCACAGACATCAATTAGTCTATAAATAATTAATTTTGTTTGTTAAGCGCAGATATTCGTTTCAAAACTATTTCTAAATTCAGTTCAAATTTCCAGCAAACAAATAAATGAACAATAAAAACGAAGTGTGCTGTGCCCCATATGGTCTAAAACCTGACAGGTGGGCAAATCTAAGCTTGTTTTTAATAAAACAAATATAAATATGGATAAAACAAATAATACTGCTAATAATAATAACATTATACAAAAGCAAATTGAATGAACTGAAAAAGCCTCCCGAGATGAAGAAGACATAAAGCAGTGATTTTTCATATTTATGTAGGCTAGAAAATAATATGTTTTGTAATATTTTAATCCTTTATATCTATATCCTATATCTATTCTTATTATTTCCTATATCTATCCTTAATATTTAATTTTTTTCATATGTAAAGATATTTGCCTATTGCTCTCTTGTGCGTAATAAGCAGTGTGTAAGCGAGGCGCAACTCTGTGCCGGAGTTTAGAACGGGTTTGATATATATAATATGAGCGCTAATGCATTTGCTATTTAAACAGTGTAGCGAAACGCCTCAAAACGACTCTTGCGCCAAGCTGAAACTACCAAAAGACTATTGCGCCGCGTCTTGCGCCACATTGCGTATGATAGGGCCCATAATGTTTAAGCTGGACCAATTGCATCTCCCGAATCCCACTCAGTGCTGCTGAACTGTTTGTGTTCTTTAAGACTTTACATATCATATGAATTAGGACTGCATGAAATGATATAAAAGGGAAATGCGTGCTCAGATGCGTGATGCGCACAGAAACCTGCTCTCTATGCTAAATTAGTTTTTCTTTCATCTTTTGCAGCCTGAATTGTTTACAATTATTAAAACTGAATACTTTAATCAAGATTGTAAATGAGGACGAGGTAGTGCTGTCGCCTCACAGCAAGAAGGTCGCTGGGTTGCTGGTTCGGACCTCGGTTCAGTTGGCGTTTCTGTGTGAAGTTTGCATGTTCTCCCTGCTTTCGCGTGGGTTTCCTCCGGGTGCTCCGGTTTCCCCCACAGTCCAAAGACATGCGGTACAGGTGAAATGGGTTGGCTAAATTGTCCGTAGTGTATGACTGTGTGTGTGAATGTGTGTGTGGATGTTTCCCAGAGATGGGTTGCGGCTGGAAGGGCATCCGCTGCGTAAAAACATGCTGGATAAGTTGGCGGTTAATTCCGCTGTGGCGACCCCGGATTAATAAAGGGACTAAGCCGACATGAAATGAATGAATGAATGAGTCTGGCTTGCCAAAACATGTTTTTTGAAGCTCACAGTGCCATCTTACGCTGCTTTCTCAGTTATGAAACGCATCACAAAAAAAATTGTTGTAAACTGATGTAGAGCCTGGGTGGACCAGAAGCCAGCCCTGTAGAGCCGGGCCTGATAAATATCACAGTTAATATGAAACCTTCTGAACCGTTTCAGTGCATTCAGAGTGTTAGAAGTGTGTATTGTTGACCGTGTGTGTGTGTCCTCACACAGGTGGAAGATGAGTGGGATGCGCAGCTATAACCCTGAGCAGATCATGCTGAGTGCTGTGGTGCGGCGGCCGAGTCGAGACGTCAATATGATGAAGGAGAAGCTGATCTTCTCAGGTCAGAGTCAAGAGTCTTTCTCCACATGCTGCTTTCTGAGATCTGCTGATGCACAGCGCCCCCTGCTGACACTCATCACGCAAGGCCGTTAATATCATACACGCATATTCATTCATTCATTCTTCTTCATTTGGCCATGATGACAGCACATAATATTCATTCATTCTTTTTCCTTTGGCCTAATCCCTTTGTTCATTACGGATCACCACAGTGGAATGAACTGCCAACTTATCAAGTATATGTTTTACGCAGCGGATGCCCTTCCAGCTGCAACCCAGTACTGGGAAACTACATCCGTATGCTAAAAATAATTAATAATCTAAAACATACATATAATAATAAAATGCATGTACATATAATTTAAATAATAATAATAATAATTATATACATATATGTATGTGTGTGTGTATTAATAAATGTAAGAAAATGTTAACAAATAAAGGTTTAAATGAACATTTCATACAAACATTTTAAAATTTTCTTTAAAAAATTTATCGAAGACAGAAGTGGGCAAAGTGAAAAAGGTTGAGTACTTATTGGAGTAGATTTTAGTTAATGGTGAGTTATTTCAATTTTATTTACTGGCCTAAAATATTTAGAAATAAACTAAAATGTTATGTATATTTAGTTATTTAATATAAATAGCTATATATTTATAGTTCTTTAGATTTCTGAGTTTAATACTAGGGCAGTCATCAGTCAGAATGAAATGTTTCATATATATTGCCACTGCGATATCACCTTGCAGCCCAAGACTGGTTACTCACTAAAGGTAAGCAGGGCTGAGCCTGGTCAGTAGCTGGATGGGAGACCACATGGGAAAACTAAGTTGCTGTTAGAAGTGGTGTTAGTGTGGTGCGGTCTGTGTGAGTCCTAATGCCCCAGTATAGTTAAGGGGACACTACACTGTCAGTGAGCACCTTCTATCGGATGAGATGTTAAACCGAGATCCTGACTCCCTGTGGTCATTAAAAATCCTATGAGAGTAGAGGCCTACTGTAAATTCCCTTCATCTCCTCTTAGGGCCTACTCACACTATGCCATCCGTACCGTGCTCAGGCCCGTTTCCCGGATCGTTTGAGAAGTGCGAGTGCACTGAATCAGGCTCAAGCACGGTTCACTTGGCCGGCCCTGGCCCGGTTGGAAGAGGTGTGCCTGAGCGCGGTTCACTTGGGCTTTGGCGCGGTACGCTTGAGTGCAAAACGTGCCAAAGCCCGAAACTGAAAGCGAGACGTGACTTTTAAGAGACTGTTTCATATGGATTTATTAATCATTCTTACTGTTCAGTGAACGCAAACTGCCGTAGTTTATTAAAGACGCAAACTCCTCACAGCACAACAGCTACGCGCCTTCAGCAGACCTCCTCATTCCTGCAGCACGAGAGCTTTATGATTGTTTATGAGCGCCAAAAGTGGCGGATCTGTTCGGCGAAATATCTGACTGCGTGTCCCCGCATCCCTAAGGACTGTTTGGCGAAATATTTGACGGCATATCAAACGACTGAAACGATATAACTAGAGAAATCTCCACTGTGCTGCTGAGTGAGAGAGTGCTACAGCAGCGATGACGTAAGCGTGACGAAGCCCGTTTGTGGTGTGAGCGCGGGCCGTCGGGGGAGACGGGAGGGGGGGACAAGCGTGCTTTGGCCCGGTTCGAGGCAACTGTACCTAGTGTGAGTACGGCCTTAGTCATCATGGCCCTCAATTATCTCCATTTACTGAACGGCTCTATCACTGTCTCTGCACTTCACCTTTAGCTGGTGTGTGGTGAGCGCACTGGCGCCGTTATCCTGCAGCTGCCATCGGATCATCCAAGTGGATGCTGCACACTGGTGGTGGTGTGGAGAGACCCCACCCTCATGATTGTGAAGCACTTTGGGTGTATGGCCATACTCAATAAACGTGCTATATAGATACACGCATTACATGGACTATATATATTATATCTCAGATCCTGTTTAACCTGTTGAACTTTCATGATTCTTCCTAATGAGTTTTGTTCTGGTTTCATCCTCCAGAGATCAACAATGGTGTCGGCAGCACAGACGAGCTCTCCGCGTTCACGGGAAACGGCCTGGACGTGTACACGCATGATGACATCATGACGCCCGCGCGACATACCGCCAAACTATAGACCACAACTTTAGACTGTTTGACACTGGACTGTATTTCACTACTACAGTGTTCTGCTTTGATGCCTTACGTCCTGACGTCTTTTGTTTTGTTTCTGTATCAAACTGTATTTATAACAGAGCTGAGTAATTGTGCACTGTACATTTTTAGAGCTGAAAGCAGGTAATAAAAGTGTCCTATTATTAATGTTCTCGAGGAACGGACTGAACTTGAAGGGATTTAATGTTAAAGCATGCAGAAACCGAACCCTAACTCACTTGATGTGATTATTTATTTTGTATTTATTTTATTTTTGTATGTAACGTATCATTTGCTTTTCTGCACTAGCTTCTCAGATCAGTTTTCTTTCTTCTACGATGCTGTACTGCTGACTTTATAAGTGATTTATTTTGTAATGAAATCAATGAAATGTGTTGAAATGTGTTTTTCCATAATAATTTGAAACAAATTCACGTATATGTTGAATTTTAGGTGATATCAGACTATTTCATGCACTTTTTTTGTTGTTTAGAATGCGAACGGTTATTTTCATTGTACTTTATTTTGGTAACACATGGCCGTATTCTGTCACACTCAGAACAAAATTGTGTCAATGATGATAACAGGATCCATAAATCAGTTTTACTTGTTAGCAAAGGTGCGTCCAAGTGGTTTAAAGTGAGTTAAAACAAATATAATGTTACAAATATAATTATATTTCTGAGTAAATGATGTTCTCTTCATTTCAATCAAAACATCTTGAAACAAAATCGGGTGTTTGTGTCCTCAAAATAAAGAAACGCATCTGCATCATGTTAGAATAATTTCTGAAGGATCTTGTGACACTGAAAAATGACGCTATGATGCTGAAAATTCAGCTTGGTATCACAAGAATAAATTGCATAAAATTTTAAAATGTGTTCACAGAAGGAGTTATGGGGCCCTTCAGAGTTTAGTTCCAACACACTTACCTGCAGGTTTCAAACAAGCCTGAAGAACTCGTGTAGTTTCAGTTGTGTTTAATTAGCATTAAAGCTAAACTTCGCTCCATACCAGATGGCCATATATATTCATTCAAACTCAAAAAAGATTTGTGTCTTTAATGATAATGGTATCAAAGCAATTTTCCTTGGTAGCAAGGGTGCATTCAAGTGGTTTAAAGTGATGTAAAAACATAGAAATTGAAATATATTTTTAACATTATATAAGTAAATGATGTTCTCTTCGTTTCTATCAAAATATCTTGAAACAAAATAGGGTGTTTGTTTCCACGAAATAAAGAAACGAATCTGCATCATATTAATATAATTTCTGAAGGATCATGTGACACTGAAAAATGACACAATGATGCTGAAAATTCAGCTTTGTATCACAAGAATAAATTGCATAAAATTTTAAAAGGAGTTATTTTAACTTGCAATATTTCACATTACTGTATATATATATATATATATATATATATATATATATATATATATATATATATATATATATATATATATATATACACACACACACATACATATATTTATATTTATTCAGGGGCCCTTCAGAGTTTAGTGCCAACACACTTGTAGGTTTCAAACTAGCCTGAAGGACTCAACTAGTTTCTGGTGTGTTAAGTTAGCATTAAAGCTAAACTTTGCATAGCTTGTTTTGGTAACACACATGGCCATATTCATTCCCACTTGTCAAAATTTGTCAATAATGATAACGTTATCCATAAATCAGTTTTACTTGGTTGCAAGGGTACATTCAAGTGGTTTATAGCTATTACAAAACATGTATAATAGTAAAAAATTATTATATTTACAAATTTCTATCAAAACATTGGGGGGGAAAACTAGCTTATTATGTGACACAATGACGTTATGACGCAAAAAAAATCATCGTTGTATCACAAGAAATTGCCTAACGTCTTCACACACGGAATTATTTTAATGTACAATTTCACAACGTTTTTTACATACTGTACGTCACGGCTGTCAAAGAGCCGCAAACAAACCTGGAGGACTCAATTAGTTTCAGGTGTGTTCAATCAAAGCTAAACTTTGTATAACTGTGATCCTCCAGGAACTGAGTTGGACATCTGTGGTGTGAGTTAAGGTTAGTTATGAACGATATTATAAAGTGTTATCAATTTTTGAGAGAGAATTAAGCAAGAACTGTGACATAAGAACAGTTTTTACTGTAATGTTCATCTATGCTATAGTATTTTAGTTATTATGTTTGCTCTGTGTTTTCTGAATATATTCGGTAGAGGGCAGCAACACACCAAAAAGCAACACACCTCTTAAAAGAAGACAAACAGTGGCGTCTAAGGAAAAAAGCACCTGCAAATTATCAATATACTGTATTTCAATTTATTTCATAAACTAAAACGTGTGTTAAAAGCCATATTCCACAGACAAAAATCCAATTTACTGTTAATTCACTCATAATAGGCGCGTTCACGACAGTCTGGAGCAGGGATTTCTCGACGTATAAAGACATACGCGCTGGCGCAAAGTCAGGTTAGTTGTAAATAATGCTGTTAATTTATAATTTACCACGAAGAAATGACAACAAAAGCAGTTTGACTAGAAATAATACAACACACACACACACACACACACACACATCCTCGCATTATTGTAAACCAATAGTAGCTATTAGGCGTCTGCTCCAACGCGTGGATGGTGAAGAAGCAAAGTTGTAAATAATTTTCAGTTTCATTCACAGACTGATCATAAGCTTCATAATAAACCACGGCTGTTAATTTAATTTTGCCTGTATTTGCTTTTTTGATTCTCAAAGTGTCGATAAGCCATATGGCCTTGAGTTTTATTAATAATCAAGGAGTATTTTTTAACACAGAAGGGGGTGAGTAAATTAGCAGCAACTTTTCATTTCTGTGTGAACTTTTTGGTTAATGTATTATAACATTAAATATGGATTCATTATTTAAAAAAAATAATGCATAATGATACATTCCAAAAAATAAATCTAATTCATTGTACACTTTTTCCCAGTGATGGATTGCAGCTGGAAGGGCATCTGGTGCATAAAACATATACTAGATCAATTGGTGGTTCATTCCACTGTTGCGACACCTGTATTATTATGGCACTTAAGACAAAATGAATGAATGAAATGTACACCGTATTGTTGTCGAATACAGGAAATCAGATTGTGAATACAAATACGCAAATGGTTTGCCTTTTTTTTAAATGAGGGTATGCTGAATCTGGCCATTTAATAATTGTGTCTTGCTAAATTAGTACAAACTTGGTTAAAAAGAATGCCACTCAGTGGATTTTAAATCAGTAAAAAGCTACTGGTAAAAGTAAGTTATGAATATGAATGTAATCTTGACTTTCTTCATTCAGCATGTTGATGTTATCCTGTGACCAATCAGCATCAGTTGAGTTGCTTCACTTCCATTCAAAAATCCACTCCTGTGGCCTCATTGGACCTCAGCTGCACACTTCCAAATCTCACTTGAAGTTTCCAGGTACATTTTTCTTTTCTTTTTTACTTCATGATACAGATATATAGGATTCTAGCAGTGATGGGAGACCCTAAGCTATTTAAAGCTTTGAAACAATTGAACCAATTGCTTTGCAACATTATTCACTGCTTTGAAGTGTCAAAACTACGTAAATGCAACAAAAACTCCAAAAATGAATGCATTAAAATGTGCTTTCAAATCTGTCAAATGCTTTTAGCTTATCACCTTTAATGTTTATTTTGCCTGTCCAAAAAGAGATTATTCACAATAGTGTGTGCGCGTGTAACTGTGTATACATGTATGCATTTATCTGAGTATGTATTTGTTTATTTTGCCCTATTTACATTTGTTTTTTAGCATTTGTTTATCCCTGTTTTTATATTTTAGCTTTTGTGTTTGTTTGTGAAGCGCTGTGAGTTGCCTGTATGTAGGAAAAGTGCTATACAAATAAAAATGATTATTGTTATTACTATTGTTATTCCTTTTAGCTTAACGAATGTTTCATTAAAACGTCTAAAGCCTCCATTCCACTGCACATGACAAATGACAAGCGACAGACCGGAAGTCATTCGTTTCCAATGGAGAGTAGTCTGGGAGCTGTAATAATCTCCGTATCTGGAAAATTCGGATCCGAAACGAGCTGCGGATCCGTTGAAATATTAGACGTGATGATGTATCCCAGTGTTGTCAAAGCAGGTCCGTGTGCGCGAGATGAGAAATAGGAGTCTGTAAGCTTTGCTTTTTGACTGTTTGTCGCCATCTTGTGACTGAATAATGTGCAGGTTAGTGTATACTCCATCAGCTGTTTTAGTTTCTATCAGCTTTGCATTTGACTGTTTGGCGCCATCTTGTGACTGAATAATGTGCAAGTTTGTTCATACTGCATCAGCTGTTTAATTTTTGTCAGCTTTGCATTTTTGACTGTGTGGCGCCATCTTGTGACTGAATACTGTGCAGGTTAGTGTATACTCCATCAGCAGTTTTTGTTTGTCAGCTTTGCATTTTTGACTGTGTGGCGCCATCTTGTGACTAATTAGAATTAATTAATACTCCATTTAGCTGTTTTTATTTCTGTCAGATTTGCATTTAATAATGAATTAATGCACTATTACAATTTAGAACAATATGTTTTGTTGCAAATAGCCATGGGTAATAAGTGAGATAAAATACATTCAGGATGGTTGTTTCAATAGAATAAATCCCTTTAGTCGGATAAAACAGTGCTCCATTTTGCATACATTAACCTGTAGGATTTTATTCTGCAAAATCAACCTCCCGGATGTATTTTATTTGTTACTTGTCAAAGTAAGAACAATCCAAGAGGACTAGAATGCAGCAAAAAAAGCATGTTACTAGCATTACACATGACGGATATCGTGAACACTATAAATACTCAACTGCCCGCATGGTTTCAGAGCATTACTAATCTTATTTTTGTTGTGTTTGACTGACACTTTTAGTTTCAGGAAACCACTGATGTAAGCTCCATCTGTACCAGTAAACTTTTAGTAGACGTAACAGGCACATGTAGTAAGGATTATGTTTATTGCATAAAATATTGCATCTCAGTAGTTTGTTGTTTGTCTAATAACATCTGCAAGGCAAAGTTTAAATGGTTTACAAGAGCGAAGCTTCACCTCTCTCGCCATATTTACAACATATGTACAGTACATATCATCTTTAATATCAATGTGTCCGTGATGTGAGAATCCAGCACTCAAACCCTGGACCAAAACACCTTAATGCATTAAGTTTGAAACACAAAGCCTCCCTACACTGCCCAGAAATAGGTTGTGGTCAGCGGCTTTCAGTCTTTGCACTAATCAGAGGCAGATTGTGCTGAATAAACAGGCTGTGGTTGTGCTTCAGGGTGCCGGTGGGCTGAGAGGCGTTTGCTGGCTCTCTGTGTCCTCTTTACTGTTGTCTGAACAGTCTGATCCGATGTAGCAACCTGAGTCTCTGGGACAGTCGTTCAGTTCGATCTTTTCTTCTTCAGAGGGAGATTTGGGTTCTTCATTTGTCTCTCCATGGCTCTGATTATTATCTGCGTTAAAAAAAAAACAGATAGTTGGGGTGCTGATGTAATAACAACGTCATTAGATGATTGTGCATGCATTATTCATGCATTACTTGGAAGTTTGTTTTTGACACACGCAATGTTTTTTCTATGTATTGCAGTGTTTTTGAGGTGTGGCTGTACTTCTGAAATTATAAGATAGATACCCACACAAACTCACTGCTCAACACACTTCCTGTAGGCTCTTTCATCACACGTAGGCAACTGGCCTCAATGACATTCACTTTTTTTTCCACTAGCATGGTTATTTTTAGTTGTTGTTGTTTTTACTCTTTTAAGCAGAGATGCCAAAAGTTGGCCTATGATAACCTTTAATTTGGCCCGACATCCTATGCCTTTAAAAGAGATTGTCATTTCTAATTTAACAATCTTTTGTTTGTTTGTTTTATCAACGAGCTATAAAAAAGCAAGCTTGAATTAAATGTTTTAATGTTGTAAATGAATCAGATTTATTTGCATTTGTGTTGTATTATAAATGGAATTGTTTGTTTTCATTTGAATAAGTTAGTTATAAAATGTAATATATATATATATATATATATATATATATATATATATATATATATATATATATATATATATATATATATATATATATAATGCATTAGTTAGTCTAATACGATCAAAGTAAAACTTTCTATTTATTTTTAAATATTCTTTTAAAAATCAGGTAATTACCCCTGGCAACTTTGTAATACAGTTTGATATTTATTTACCTTCAGCACCACAGCACTCAGCTATGTTTTTTGGCCCTTCATAAGAAAAGGTTTGGGCACACCTGCTTTTAAGCATCGTGCAGACATTTGGGGATGTTATATTGCAATTTAATGGTATTTCTTAAAAATTTTATAAACATTTTTAAAAAATACCAAAATTTGTTAAATATTTAAAGCATATTAATATATGCAAAATATTAAAAATAGCTTGTTTTAAAATATATGTTACAATATTACATTGTTCCTTTTTTATTGAAAAGGTTCAGTTAATTGTGTCAGGACCTTTTGTACAATTCATGTTAATCTTATTCAGATATGTCTTACACAGTGGTCTATATTATTCATTAAATATAAATAAAATAAATAAATATCTAAATAAAATTCAAAATTTTCAGGTGTGACATTTTATTTATAGAAATATGTAATAGGAATGTGTGTGTGTGTGTGTGTGTGTGTGTGTATGTGTGTGTGCGTGTGTGTGTGTGTGTATATATATACATATGTCGCTAGTTTGTCACTTGGCATTTATGTGTGGAGTTTGCATGTTCTCCTCGTGTTCGAATGGGTTTCCTCTGGGTGCTCTGGTTTCCCCCACAAATCCAAAGACATCCGTTACAGGTGAATTGGATAAGCTAAATTGACAGTAGTGTATGTGTGTGAATGAATGTGTATGGATGTTTCCCAGTGATGGGTTGCAGCTGGAAGGTTATCCTCTGTGTAAAACGTAAGCTGGATAAGTTGGCAGTTCATTCCGCTCTGGCGACCCCAGATTAATAGAGACTAAGCCAAAAAGAAAATGAATGAATAGTATTATTGTCATTTATAAAAAATAATAATAATAATAATTATTATTATTATTAATAATATTATTATTGATATTATTTTGATTTCTGAAGGATCATGTGACTCTGAAAACTGGAGTAATGAAGGTGAAATATTCATCATTAAAATCGCTGAAATAAATGATTAAATTAAATTATAAACTACTTTTGAACAGTTATTTTATAGTGCAATAACAGATCACAATTTTACAATTTGTTCTGTAATTTTGATGAAATAAACGCAGCCTTGGTGAGCAGAAGCTCATTTTAAAACATTTAAAAATCATACTGACCCCAGACAGTCTGACCAGTTCAGTGTACAATATATATAAATATAAATAAATAAATATATATATAATCAGTTTAATTTTCTTATGTTTGTTTTATGTGTAGATTTTGAATAGTGTTCATAAACATCTATTTTAACCAGTCTCATTTTAATAAGCTAACATGCATTTGATCTAATCTTGGTTTTACTTTCAATGTTTATAACACTATGGTTAGCAGATACTCAGTGGGAAGGTACTAGATTTTATCTGAGGGAAAATGTGTGAAAATGTGCGTTTTCAGCCTGTCTCTTTGCCAGTGTTGCTTTGATGAGGTTTGTTTTTGAGTTTCTAAAGCACCAACCAGCATCAGCTCTTTACCCAAGTAATCTTTTTTTTAACGAGACAAAACTCAAAAACAAGTGTTTAAAAAGACCATTTTCTGTATCCAGTGCCATTTTTTTGTGATTCTGCTGTTGGACCACTTACATTCAGAGTCCAGCAGGTTTTCTGCTGCCGCCAGCAGTCTGTGTCTGTGTTCAGGATCAGTCATATTCAGCTCGACAAGATGCTGCTCCTTCAAATCCCGAAGATCCTCCACTGTCTGATAGCCATTCAGCAGCAGAGACGAAATGTGCTCCTGCAATAACAGTTCAAGCTATTAGAAGACTGCAAACCTTAGAGATAATGCATACCTCTAATTTCCTGTTTCTGAGATGTTTGCAACCCAGGCTCTTTGTAAATGCATTCCTCAGTCTATAATTCTTTTGCAAAATGTTAAACATGCTGCTCCGGTTACATTTTGTGGACTTTTCAGATGACAAATCCACTAGAGGGTGCTGTCTACAGTTTTTCTTTTACTGTTTTTTTTTTACAGAAGATTGCGCTCTAGGCTAGTTTTTTTAACAGCAGATAGTGCTGTTGACAAATTTTTAACAGCAGGGTTGATCTATGCTAGTTTTTAACAGTAGATGACACTAGACTACTTTTATCAGCTGATGGCGCTTTAATCTAGTTTAACAACAGATGGGTATCTAGGTTAGATTTTAACAGTAGATGATGCTGTAGACAATTTTTTTTATCAGCTGATTGCGCTCTAGGCTAGTTTTTTAACAGCAGATGGCTCTCTAGGCTAGTTTTTTACCAGATGATGGCGCTCTAGGCTAGTTTGTAACAACAGGTGTCACTAAGGTAGTTCTTTTAACAGTTGATGGCACACTAGGTTAGGTTTTTAACCGCTGATGTCGCTCTAGGTTGGTTTTTTTTAACAGCTGATGTCGCTCTAGGTTAGGTATTTTGACAGCTGATGATGCTCTAGGTTAGGTTTTTAACAGCTGATATTGCTCTAGGTTAGTTATTTAACCGCTGATGTTGCTCTAGGTTGGTTTTTTTAACAGCTGATGTCGCTCTATGTTAGGTATTTTGACAGCTGATGTCACTCTAGGTAAGGTGTTTAACAGCTGATGTCGCTCTAGGTTAGGTTTTTAACAGCTGATGCTGCTCTATGTTAGGTTTTTAACAGCTGGTGGCGCTCTAGGTTATTTATTTAACCGCTGATGTCGCTCTAGGTTGGTTTTTTAACAGCTGATGTCGCTCTAGGTTAGGTATTTTAACAGCTGATGTCGCTCTAGGTTAGGTTTTTAACAACTGATGTTGATCTAGGTTAGTTTTTTTAACAGCTGATGTCGCTCTAGGTTAATTGTTTTTGCAGCTAATGTTGCTCTAGACTCATTTTTAAACAGCTGATGCCGCTCTAGGCTAGATTTTAACAGCAGATAGCGCTCTAGGCTTTTTTCTAACAGCTAATGTCACTCTAGGCTTGTTTTTAATAGCAGATGCTCTCCAGGCAAGTTTTTCACAGCAGACAATGCTCTAGGCCAGGGGTCACCAATCTTTGCCCTGGAGGGCCGGTGTCTCTGCAGGGTTTATCTACAACTTGCCTCAACACACCTGCCTGAATGCTTCAAGTATACCTAGTAAGACCTTGATTAGCTTGTTCAGGTGTGTTTGATTAGGGTTGGAGGTAAAATCTGCAGGACACCGTCCCTCCAGGAGCAAGTTTGGTGACCACTGCTCTAGGCTATAGTTTTTAACAGCATATGGCGCTCTAGGCTGGTTTTTAACAGTAGATGGCACTTGGTTAGTTTCTTTTAAGCTGATGGTGCTTTAGGCTAGTATTTTAACAAAAGATGGCGCTCTAGAACATTTTTTACCATACAGTGAAACGCTCGCGAGGAAGAATGTGTGTGTGTTCGAGATTCAAGAGTAATTTATACACAGCTCTCTATGAACACTTGTAATTCCATTAAATCTTTCCTAGTTTTATTTAATAGTATTTTAGGGTCAATAAGTATTTGAAAGCAATCAGATGCAAGCAGAGTATGGCTGTTTGTAAAAGCATACAGCGCCAACTACTGTTGCAAAAAACCCATAAGAACTCAACAGAAGAGAGCATAGCAATGTAGTTTGAAAGTCTAACTTGACCTTTAGAAGTCTTTTTGTCACAACTCTAGATATAGTCAACTTGTTTTGCAGTATTTATTTGGTGGTGTGCCAAGAACTGCACAAAAAATAATCCATTATTTGTGGGTAATTTGTCTTTGTAAATATCATAAGGGCGAAAAGAAGCTAAAGATGTCATACTGCCATGCAGCATTCATTTTTCTAGAAAATGCAGTCATACATTGAAGTACACTTGAAGTTTCACCAATATGTAAGCTGGAGCACATATATTTCCAATGAGCCTGTGTTGGATGTTTGTCCTAAAAGTGTTTAGAAAAGTGTTTAAGCACCTCCAGATTGAGTCTTTCCAGAAGCTCCTGCAGGGTTTTGGGTCGAGGTCTCCTGCTCCTCCGGTGAGCACGAATCCTCGGTTGTGGTGTGATTTCTTCCACCAACACGTCGACATAGATGAACTTAAAGTTTCCCACTTTCCCATTCAGCATTCCAGTCCAGATTCCCATTGGTGGTTTGTTGATGATGTCAATGACATCTCCAACCTTATATATTTATAAACAAAAAGCATGTAAATGGCTCTGAAAATCAACCTTCAGCTTCATCACTGAGCATCTTGGGTTAGTTTTACCTTGAGTTTGAGAGACTCGGTGTCGTATGGACTGGGAACAAAGTCAGTGTGGACTTTAGCTTTGCCGCAGAACTGGCCTGCAAAGGGCACCTCTTCTTCTAAACGCAGGCTGTCTCTGTTACTATAACCTTCAGAGCCGCTGGTCACACCACCTAAAGCATCAGGAAACGCAGAAACCAACCAGTGAAGAACAAACCACAGCTGAAATGTCACAAGCACATCTACGCCAAAGCTCAGCAAACTGAAACAATGTGCAAGTGTGTCAGTCAAACATTTCTAGGAAGATGTAACAAAATAATACAGTGCATAAAATAAATTTTGTAAGTAAAAAGATTGAAATATGTCATTAAGGCAGCTTGTTTCTGGCACACAATAAAAAAAAAATTGAGATTGTCATGTAGTTGTGCAGTCAAAGTAAAAATGGCAAACTACAGTATTTAGTATTTACAACTCCACTAATGCATGCAACAACATACAGCATAGTGTTAACAAAAGTAAACTGATCAACTAATCAATACTCTACTATACTTTAGTTTTTGCTACATCAAACAGGTGTATTGTACTGTAATATAACAAAATGTAGAACACTTAAAGGTCTTATGAAGTGCTTTGAAATGTGCATTTATTTTATTTGAAGTTTGACAATCTCAGCTGAAACATGAAGGCTGGGTGGGACATATAGTAGCTACTCCCTTTTTGCAAATACCACAATTTTTTGTTTGATCACAGCTCACTAAGAGTGATTGAGATTCATCCAATGAAAAGCAAATGAGAAGCGTCTTGAAGGGGGCGGGGCATGTCAGATACTAGAGAGCATTTGATTGGTCAGAAGATTTGATGAGAAACTGAAGTATGAGGTGATGTAAAAAAAAAACAATGATCTATTTAGGAGTAAGTGACAAACTGCAAGCTTTTGGATGTTCCTATCTTCTAAATGCAAATTTTGTCATTGTTTTAAAGTGCACTACATTTATATACAGTATACAGTATCATTAGGACTAACATACTGAAAGTGACACCTTAAAACTTTATTTTAGTAGTAACTGTAAAAGCAAGCACTATTAAGCACTATTTTCGGCACTATTTTTCACTTGGTCTTAAAGCCTTCTTCGATGGGTTATTTTCATAGGTATTTTTAAACAATTTATTCCCCTGGTTTCACAAACAAGGTTTAAGGCTAGTCAAGATTAAATTGCATGTTTGAGCTGTCTCAACTCAAAATAACTTGCGGAGAGATGTTTTAAAATATGTCAATGTAATTTTTTTTTTTTTTTTTTTGTCTTCAAGTGCACACCAGTAATATTTTTCTAAGGCCATTTTTATGAATGTGTCTTAAATAGCCTAATTTAACAAAGGCCTAGTCCTGGCTTAACCTAAGCCCTATGGCATAGCAGTCAAAATAGGATGAATGAGCTCATGTACAGTATGGAACAAATTCTGGACCTTTGTCAGTGAGGAGTGGTTCTTTAGAACCACCCGAACCCTTCTTGGCTACGGGCCTGTATGCATTGGTGATTGAAACCCAAAACTTTTTGCTTGTCTAGAAAATGCTTCTTGATTTAAAAATATGTAGATATTTGGACTTGAAACAAGACAAAATCAATAAGTAAGAAAGGCTTTTGTTGCATAAATTGTGTACGCATGGTTAGAGAATATTTTGAGTAATTATTTTAGTGGTCCGTTTGTTGAATTTAAGTTACATTTGCATCTATATGCCAACTAATTCTCATTAGATTTTAAGTAGGCTGTTAGGTTGGGGTTGGGGTTAGGGTTAGTGCAAGTTGACATATACTTGCAAAGGTTCTTATAGTCAGTTAAAAGTCTGCTTGGCAGCCGTATCAACAAATATTAAGCAGGCAGTCTACTAATACTCAAATGGACCTTCTAAGTAAAGTGTTACCTTTTTGTTTGTCTACAAAATGCTTCTTGATTTAAGAATATTCAGATATTTAGACTAGAAAAGCTTGCATTGCAGTAAGTGTAGTTGGGCTTACTAGATGAGCTTTGGCCACTGTGCAGACTGAACAGACTCTCCACAGAGTTACTGGAGTGGTTGTTGCCTTTGGCTAGTGTGCCGTCCACAACGTCAGCTGCTGCAGCTTCATTCTCCTCGCCCTGTAGAGAGAAAAACATCAACAGTGTTCAGCCCACATGCAGGTACGAGTGCCAAGCTGATACGTGACTGGTGTCTTCAGGTGCTAAATCGGGTCTTGTGAGGCCTTGGGCCACTCGAGGGAGCAAAGTCTTTAATCCGCCAGAGCTGCCATTTTTACCTCCGATATGTGGAAGCTGCGTGTAATCCACCAACGCAAGCTCTTTAGAGTAACTACAGCGGCAAATAAAGAAGCACTGCTTTATTCAGTTAGTTTAGTGAAGTTGCTGTTTAAGTAAGTGTGAAATAAATGGGAGAATCACTGTGGTGTGATGTTTTGTTTAGCTTTAGTACTCGCACATACCTCTTTACTTGAAATAGACATGCACTGTAAAAACACGCTGGGTTCCACACAATTTATTTGTGTTGGGACAACATGGAGAAGTTAAGTTAACTGATTAGTTTTTAACATATTTAAGTGGATTAAACTTAAAAACCCCCCCAAAAAAATAAAATAAAATAAACTCAAGAATTGTGTTGTTGCAGCTCATTTTAAATAAGTAGTTTGAACAAAAAGCTAGCATATTTTTTTGGGTGTGGTAGATTTTTCAAGCTTTTAAATAACATTTGCTCTTTTACTTATTTGTTGCTAAACTAATTTACACCCAAAAATTATGAAAATGCTTCGTAAATAATAATAAAATACAAAAACAATACTTAATAATGAAATTATATACTGTTTTTTTTCCATATAAAATCTAATGTCAGCTCTGAACACTTTACTCAACATATTATTTTGCTGCTTGTTCAAACTACTAATGTAAAATGAGCCTGAACAACACTATTCTTAAGGGTTTAAGATTGAGCTCAGGTCGATCTCAAAACTCCCCCGCTGCTGAGAGTTAACTAAGGTTAACTTCCTGAGAGTAAGACATTTAGGAAAATGATTTAAGCTCATTTTTTTTTCTTTAATTATAGAGCATATTTGGATGGTGGGAGGAGGGGGGTTTCCTTCAGATTACGATAGTTGTACAAAGGAAATAATATATATATATATATATATATATATATATATATATATATATATATATATATATATATATATATATATATATATATATATATATATATATATATATGACAAATAATGACTTGGGATCCTTTGATCGGAGAAGATAATGTGGGCCAGCTGGCCAATCATGAGCACATGCTCCTCTCGAAATTAGTTTGTTAAACTTCATTTAAAACACATACGTTTTACTACTGTTACAATAGATTCAAAAGACTTAAGAGTCTTTTAAGAAAAATAAGATTAATTAAGTATCACGTTTAACAACTATAGTGAAATGAGATGCAGCGGAATATCCTTGTTGAATTGTCTGTCATGCACTGCTTTCACCAGGGGAGGTGTGCTCAAAGCACCCGCTGACTGCCTTTAGCTCTTACGTCCACATACGCTGCAGCACATGAGAGTGTGTGTGTCTGTGTGTGTGTGATGTGCATTTCCAGTGGTATAGTATGGACGGAGATCTTTTTAGTAACGCCAGTGTGGAAGTAGGTCGTTTTTATTATAAAATGACGTTTTAAAACTAAAACGTATTAGTTTAAACGGGGCCTTAATCGATTTGTGTTGAATGAAATGTGTGGAACCCTGCATTTTTTTACAGTGTTGGAATATACAGTAGCAGATCATAAACACTACTTGTACAATATTGTATGGTAATTTCTATCTTTTTTTTAGCTTTTTTTCCCCCCAAAAAACACATTTTTCCATGAGTAGATACTGAGCTATCACTGTGAGTTTGACGCATTATAAACTCTTAGAAAATAAAACACCTCTCAGTTTAACTTTTTATTCCCAAATTTAAAAACCATTTTGTTGTCTATCAAATGAAACAAACATAAAGTAAGGAATCTCCTTTAATGATTAAATGAATTTTGGCAAAATTAAATATACAAATATGGGTGAGATAACCTCGAACATGCTAAATATATAAAAAATAAAACAATTTAATGTTGGTAATTTCTATGCTACTTCTGTTTAATAACTTAATGACATTTTAGTGGATGCCTTTTGGAAATCGTGATAAAAAAACAATATAACAGTCATAATTTTTGCCACCAAAAAAACAACTACAAATAAATGGAACACATTCTAAAATATGAAAACATGACCAAATTCACCCTATAAAGACTATTTATGATGTAACATTTAGTAACATCATCAAATTTCAATCTCAGAACAGCAGTTTTGATTGTTGATTAAAATAAAAATCACTTGTAGCTTAACCTAAAGGACCCTCACCTCTAAGAGTGTTTCAACATCGCTCGATTAAGGCTTTTGATGCTGTTTTAAAAGTTAAAGGTGAGTGCTCACCGTTTCCTCTGACAGGGCTTTCGTGTATTTCCGGCCCATTTTTTTCCGCATGGTCAGCGAGATGTTCTTCATCTTCTTGCTTAGACCTCCTGATTTACTGGGATCCACCTCAGGGCTTTCCACAGGCTACACACACACACACCTGAATTTCAATACTAGACATTCTAGTGTTTATGCACATTACTGAAAAGTAAAACACTCACCAAACTTTCTACTTTATCCTCTGCCTTGACCTGATTGGGCTGTTGTCTGTCAAATATCCCAAAACTGGTGGACCGCTGAAAGAAAACAAAGAGATAAACTCGATTAGCAGTGGTCAACAGTCTTGATTTGGTTGTTCATTTTACACCACAGAGTTTTGTGGTCACTGACGAGATCTCCAAACACAGTGACTGTTTCACATGGAGTTTGTTTGCTAGCTAAAAAAACAAGAATGTAATTCAATCCAGTGTTTACGTAATGTATTATTTCACCAGAACAGATGGACAGAGAGTTTTAATTAATTAAAAAATAGATAAATATTTTACCTTTGGCTTGTTTCTTGATTTATCAGAGGCATTTGATGGTTTTCTTTGAAGCATTTTTAGTGATTCTGTTTTATTTCTCCTCTGTCAGAAAGCAGCTCAGCTCTTATTGAAGACACTTGTACTGGCCTGAAGCCACTCACACACTCAGTCAAGTCGAAACTTACTTCCTCACCACACACAGGATGTGAGTGAGCGTCTACTCGACATCTCTAATCACTGGCTTTAAAAAAAGTGCCCTCGTCCCAGTGACAACTTTTTAGAGCACTACATGCAACTGTTGCAATGTAATTTCTGTGACCTTTAGATTTACAAACGCAATGTTGTTAGCATTCATTTATTAATATGTACAGTATTAAAAGCATGACCAGAACATTTATTTAAAATGACTAAATGTTTTTAAAATAACTAGTGATGCTCACCATAGCTGTATTTATTTTATCCCAAAAATTTATTTATAATAAATAGCTTTTATATTTATGGTTAAGGTTAATTCATTTATTTTTATTCATCACCGTTTTTTTTTTGGTTTTTTGTTTTTTTTGCAGTATCTTCTCTCTTGTTAAGATTTTAGATAATACATCAGCTTCCTGTTTTGCATACTTCTGTAGTTTTATCACCTTTCCTTTTAACAGCTTTTATCACCTTTCTCTTATTACAGCTACTAAAGTGATTAATTCACATCCAGAGAGAGAGATCAGTTTGTTGTAGTTACGTGTGTGTGTGTGTGTGTGTGTGTATATATATAGTGATGGGCAAAAACTGTTTGTGAATAATTGCACCTGAAACAAAAGTTTGTTTAGACTTAAGATATGTGTGTATTACTGTAAAAAAGTTATTTCCGGCAGCTGGAAAAAAAATGTAAAAGAACAGCCATTCAATTACAGAAATGTACTGTAAAATAACAGACATTAAACTATAGAAATTTCCTTGAATTTAAATTTCTGGTACATTTCTGTAATTCAACCTTGCTTATTTTACAGTAAATTTCTGTAATTTAAAGGCTGTTATTTTATGGTTTATTTCCGGCACCCCACTTGCCGGAAATAAACCAAAAAATTAAGTTTTTAAAAAAGTATTGTGTGTGTGTGTGTGTGTGTGTGTGTGTGTGTGTGTGTGTGTGTCTATCCATCCATCTATCCATCTATCCATCCATCCATCCATCCATCCATCCATCCATCCATACAACAGTTCTGTCTGGTTTTCAAATCTGATTGGCTGATAGCTGTGATATATTTAAGTAATATCAGCACCCGTACAGCCTTTTTAACCTTTGTGTATTACTCTGCCCACATACAGCCAGCAAAAAGCAGACACTACAGAAGATGCTTGCTCAACTGTTTAACTGTCAGCTTATGATTTGAATCCAGAAGAAAGTAGTTCCTCATACAAAAGCACATATAAACACAATATCACACGAGTAGCAATGCAATATGGCTGTATATCGGCACTGGTGGGGGCTATAAGGCACTCTGCCTGTGGCCTCGTGCCAACGCACGCCTCCCACCAGTGCCGATATACAGCCATATTACATTGCTACTCGTGTGATATTGCTCATATGTAATCATATATTTGAGAAAATGTTTATTTATATTTAAAAATATATTTATAATTACAAATGATATCTAAAAATTGATGTAACAAAGAATTCACTAACTCATATACACTGCTCAAAAAACTAAAGGGAACAATTAAACAACAATGTAACTCCAAGTGTTCCCTTTATTTTTTTGAGAAGTATAAATTATGCCAATATTTTTTTTGCGTCTATTTTTTTTAGACGCGATTTAAATACAATCACTCTGATACTAATTATTAGCTCTCCTTTTTAAAATTGTATTCTTTAAAAGAAATTATAATTTAAGTGGTGTTTAACAGACCAAGTACATTTATACAGTGTTTCCTATATTTAAAATTTTTCATTTATATTTTTTCTTTATTTTGTATATTATTTATTCTGGAGAAAGTTTTATTTAGTTTTACTTTTGTTTGGCTGTAATAAATAAAAAAAAAAGTGTTTTCATGTTTGAGAGAAATTTTAGGGTCAAAATTATTAGCCCCCTTATGATGTATTCCCAATTGTCTACAGAACAAACCACTGTTTTCCAATTACCGGTCTAATTGCCCTAACTTTCCTAGTTAACCCAATTAACCTAGTTAATACAACCTAGTACTAGTGTCTTGCAAAATAAGTAGAAAATATTATATACATTCATCATGGCAAAGAAAATATAAATTAGTTATTAGAAGTTAGTTAATAAAACTATTATATTCAAAAGTGTGTTCTTCTCTCAGTTAAACAACACTTGGGAAATAATTTTAAAAGGAAAAGTCCAGAATCTCACCAGCGCATCAGGCTTGTCCAGCTCCATGACAGAGTGTGTGATCCACGTGTCCTGCTGGTATCGTTTGTAGGGGTCGAGACGCTGGAAAAGATCTTCATATCTGTCCCAATCCGTGTCTCTGGGCAGGGTGAAATTAAAGTTGTACATCACCTGTTCAGCTGTTGACCTGTGGCAGGTGTGCGTGGACGTGTCCCATGCTGGAGAAAAAGCCACGGGGCTATAATACTCATAAAAAAGCTCTGGAAGCGTGTCGTTCTCCTGCAAGGGCTGCTGGGATTGCGCTGTTGGACGTGAAGGAGCTCTTGTCGGCTTCTTCTCAGCTTTTTTGGTTAAACTTATGCAGGTGATGACAGGACTGTGATGTTTGCTGTTGGATTCAGTCAGATTACCTGAAGGACATAACAATTATGATGAAGCTTTTGAATTTTAAAGCTGCAGGATTAATTAATAAAAGACATGATCTCGGTTAGGGCTAGGCGTTACAGCAAAAATAATTGTCATGATATCATGTTTCAATATAGATAATTGTTCATTATTTGTTTTTACAATCCATTTTTGAAATGTTATGATTTTTTATTTAACCACTTTATTAGGTTGTCCGTGGGGTTCTTAAAGGTACTAAACATTTTTTAGATACATTTTCAATTTGTGTGCAGGCCTTTATTCTAAAGTTTGCAGGGATTTATTTATATGTTGAGAGTAGGACCTTAGCGATATCGCACGCGCGCTGATAAAAACTGGGTGACCGGCTGGCTTGCGGTCAACCATATAGGCCAGCTACTTTGGTTTATTTTATTTATTTATTTATGTAATTGAAACATAATTATATATATTTGAATTAATAAGTTTTAAATATATATATTCATAATTAAATTAAAACAATTAAAATATTTTATTGGACTTAATTTTTTATTAAGTTATTTAAATAAAATAAAATATATTTTAAGAGTTTGTTTAAAATTAAATTTTTTTTGTTGTTAATATTGGTTTTATTTATTTATTAATCTAAAATGAAATTTAAATAAATAGATAAATTTAATTATTTATGCAATTGAAATATAATTTAATCTATATAATTTAATTTAATTATTTATTTATTTAAATGAATTTAATTATTTATGTAATTGAAATATAATTCAAGAATATATAATTTAATTAAATAATATATATTTATTTATATTAAATTAAAAACCAAATTTTTTTTTTAAAACTTTTTTTATTCATTTATTTAAATGAAATAAAATGTATTTTAAGAATTTGTTTAATTTTTTGGTTTTGTTAATTTTGGTTTATTTTATTTATTTAAAGTGAAATTTAAATAAATAGATGAGTTAATTAATTTAATTATTTATTTATGTTTTTGAAATATAATTTAATAAATAAAATAAAATATATATTTATTTATTTATTTATTAAATTAAATAATAATTACATTTTTCCCAGAGATGGGTTGCAGCTGGAAGGGCATCCGCTGCCTAAAAATTTGCTGGATAAGTTGCCGGTTCATTCCGCTGTGGCGACCCCGGATTAGTAAAGGGACTAAGCCGACAAGAAAATGAAGGAATGAACGAATAATTAAATTAAATACAATTGAAATAGTTTTAATTTGATTTTTAAAATAATTTATTTAATTTTAAAAAAATGTATTTTAATATTTTTAAATAAATTTTAATATTTTTTTATTGATTTTTATTTTTTTAAATGAACAAAGTAATTTAATTATTTAAAATAACTAAAATGTAATAAAATATTTTTTTACTTAAATTGTTTTATTTATTTTTTTGTCTATTTCTCACCATCATGCTCAGTGCTGTTCCGAATCTCCTCCACACTGTTTTGACCACCTTTTAAAATGTATTTTATGTTAAATTTGTATTTATATAGTTTAATTCATTATTATTTTATCTGTTTCTCACCAGCAGCTTCAGTGCTGTTCCTCATCTCCTCCATACTGTTTTGACCTCCCTTTTTCCCTCCCACCAGTTTCTGGATCTTCTTCAGCGTGCCCTGCGCCTCGTCCTCCACCTCTGACCTCCTGGCCTGAAATAGTGGCATTGGGTTATTTCAGCAAATGAAGGAGATCACAGGCTCTCTATACAGCTGACCGGCCTCAAGATCAACGCACAAGAGTTTCCACGAACGGCTGCCGATTCTGGGTAATGCTAACACACTCTGACCTCCGGCACTGACCTTATTAAATGCCTCTCACAGATGTGCTTTCTGACACTCACAAGTCACTGAGTTCCTCATAATCTGACCTATTTCTGTCAACTTTTTTTTTTTATATATATATTTTTTTGTTTTTTTAATATCAAAAGACATCCAAAACAAGATCTGAATCTACACATGCTTTTGTAGGGATACACAATTTATATCAGTAACAGATATCAGTTATCTGTCAATGCGTTTGTAGATTTTCCTTATTATCTGCTCAGTATCTCAAATCGTCATAATACTGTAAATGTTGTGATGTCTTGATTTTAAGATAAATATAGTATTTTAAAAAGATGGTTTAGTTTTTGTTTTATTTTGTTTTTATTTATTTAAAAAAATATATGGACCAGTTTTAATTACGGATTTTTTATTTTAATTGATTAAATATACCAATAATATCACACATAAATATTATGATTTAAATCATTTAAAGCGGTTTAAGTTTGTTTCTTTAAAATAATTTTGCATTTTTGTACAAGCTTTTTTTTTTTAGAAGAATTAAATATTTTTACAGAATCATGCTGTATTGTTTATTGATTTACAACTAAATTTAATTAATTAATTATAAAATAAAATAAAACGTTTATTTTATGCAATTATTCATTGTTTAAATAAAATAACATTTTAATAAATTTTTTAAATTACTTTATTTTACTTTTTTATTCATTTATTTAAATGAAAAAAGTGTATTAATAATTTTTTAAATATCTTAATATTTTATTTTTTATTGTTTTCTTATTTATTTATTAAAAATGAAATTAAAACAAATAAATTAACAAAGTATTTTAATTATTCAAATGAAGTTTATTTTTTATGTTAGCATTTTAAAATTTGTCTTTTTTTAATTGATTAAATATACCATTATTACATTTAAATATTTAAATAGTTCAAAGTAGTTTGTAAAGTTTACATTTCTTTTAAAATTATATTTTATAATAAGATATTTTTTATATGTTAATATAACCTTTTTTTAAAGCAAATAAAATATTTAATGCAGATTTTAATGTTAAATTTTTTACTCAAAATATGACAATTTTATTATGTCAATTTTATTTAAAAAATGTATAATTTATTAAAAATGTCAGTCATGTCAATTTCAGCCAATTTTTTATTAAGAAGGTGAAGTTTTGATTTCTTCAAAATAAAATTACATTTTAATATAAACCACTCTTTTATAAATTGTTTTAATTATATTGCAATTTACTATCAGCCACTATTTAATTTTACATTATTTCACGTGTGTGTGTGTGTGTGTGTGTGTGTGTGTGTGCGTGTGTGCGTGTGTGCGTGTGTGCGTGTGTGCGTGTGTGCGTGTGTGTGTGTGTGTATATATATATATATATATATATATATATATATATATATATAATTTCTTTTAAATTTAGTATCTGTAGAACATGAAACTATGGGGTTAAGTGTATATATGCAGCACAACAAAGTGCAAAAACTATTACAAAGTTCACAGTTTTAGGCAGAAAAACACTCACCAAGTCCTGCTGTCTGCATTCAGAGTTTTCTCTGTTGGGATTCCAGGCTTCAAAATTCACACCCTGTGAATAAAACCAGCAATGCTGAACTTATAAATGCAGAAATTATTGATTGATATTGCCTTTGAGAAGAGTTCCCACATCTGACATTGAATGACTGATCAAAGTGCAGCATCACACAGATGACTGAAGCGCATTAGTGTAATGGAGAATTTAATCAGAGGGAAATCTATCCTGTATTACCAAGAGACACACTTTCTGTTACATAAAAGTGAGTGTTTTTTTTTTTTCAGCAGTGATTTACCTGACCGCAGGGATTTTTAACTGCTTTCTCTGAATTCCCCCGCTCCTCTTTCTCTTCTCTGGAGAGAAGTTTTGACCGGTGATGATCTTTGGCCGCCTCTAAGATTAAAATACAGCACAATTTAGCTCAGCCTCTGGATTTATAAACTATTCAGACAATTCAGATTTAGATGGAAAACTTGTGAAGGTCTGCATAGGGGAAAGAGTGAGACCCTGATCGCATTTTATCTGTCGCTCTGTCAGTGAATCAGTCTGAGCCCAAATCAAATCCTCTGTTTCTCGTGGGCTTTCAGAATTGCTTTGTGTCGTCACTGATCTAATCCACTAAGACTATTCGACGCGCACAGATTTCTCTGACCCCTCACACACACACAAACACACACACTCATTTCATGGGAGTAGCTTGCAGAACCATTAGACACTGTGTATTAATTCCCCGAAACACAATGTTGTGGTGTTGTGTTTGGTATCGTTTGGTACATATGCAGTAATACAATGCTCTTTTTTTTTTTTTTAAATAGCATGCGTTACTGCAAACATGTTAAAGGGCACCTATGATGAAAATCATCTTTTGTAAGCTGTTTGGACAGGACTGTGTGTAGGTACAGTGTCTCCACTGTCATATTGAAGTGAAATAAACACAATAAGTCTCTTTTTTTTAATTTCCTGACGTTAAGGATCCAAATCCCTCCCATTTTGAGGCTCGCCGCAGCGTGACATAGGAGTGTGGTTTCCCCGCCCACCGAATTGATTGACAGACGCGTATTAACATGTCTTTGTTGTAACGGGTTTAATTATATCTACAAGATAGGACATGCACAAAGCAACTGGGATCAAAAGATCTGTTCAGCTCTCTGTGATCATCAATCATCATCAAATGTGATCAAGAATGAGTTTTACAAGTTTAAAACGTTTCTAAAACGGTGCATGTTTGTAATAAATACAGTAAAATCGCTGTAATTCATCACCACAGCAGCATAGTGTCAGTACAATTATAAAAGAGGATGCTTCAATCCCAGTATCTAAACTTAAATCAGGCTTTTTTGTACATTAAAATAATGAATGTCCATACGTGTGTGTGTGTTTGCCCGAACTTTATAATGACATTCTGTGTGACTCATCATTGCAGAAAGGCTTGAATTAACTCCACAACAAATACATCCAATGACATTTGGGGAAGTTCTTACTGTAGTAAGGGAGATCTGCTTCATTCGTGTTTGTCAATGTGCTGTTTATTTGCATGAAGGCTACATGCACTGACACACACATGGGAATGGTGAGCGGGGAGAACCAGCTTATTTGCATTAAAGGCACAGGCAAAAAAAACAGCTACAATGTCCAGACAGTTCAAACTTCCCAGATTTCAAAAGGTAAATTGGATAATCTGATGGGTTTATTTAGCTAAAAGCTTACAGACACATTCTGGAGACACAAAAGACTTGTATTAAATCTTGAAAAGGGGGTAAAATAGGTAAATAAATAAAATAAGTTGAATGCGGCTGTTATTAATATATATATATATATATATATATATATATATATATATATATATTGTAGTTTTTTTTTAATCAGAAATCAGAAAGAGCTTTATTGCCTGGTATGTTCGCACACACAAGGTATTTGTTTTCATGACAAAGCTTCTACAGTGCAACAGAATTACAGAGACAGGACTAAAAACAGATAATAAATACCTTTTCAAAATAGAAATAAGTAGTGAATGTAGAGCTATATTACTATATACAATGTTATATGTGCAGCTGTTATGTGCAAATTGGCTTGTTTATGTGTGTTGTTAAATAAGTGAATATGTGTATAAAAGTGTATGGCAAGTAGTGATGTTGGTTCCACAATTATTATTATAAGTGTTCGTGAGATGGATTGCCTGGGGGAAGAAACTGTTATTGTGTCGGCCTGTAACGCCGTGCTCTGTAGTAGAGATCTGCGCGGGACTAAATTTTGAATCCTGTTCCCGCCAGGTGTTCGCCCGAACCCGACCACTCCCGCTTATTTTCAGCATTTGTTGTCCCGCTGCCTGACCCGCCCTGTTTTTTACATGCCGCGCCCGATCCCGCTAAAGAGCGGGGGGAGAACAAAACCGGAAACCACCCAGCCTATAACAAGCTGTCTGTATAAACACACACGCACTCATAAGCACCAAGCACACACACACAGACAAAGCTCTCTCTCTCTCATATTACACACAGACACACACACACACACATAGCAACAAACAAGCTAAACATAGCATCGCGCTGTTTCATTCACACACAAACATACGCATGCTCGCTTGGGAGTCAGGAGCGTTATTGCAAGCTGGCCCGCTCCAGTCCCAAATTAAACCCGTTACCGACCGCTTCCGCGCTTTATTTGAAAATTTATCCCCGCGCCTCAGAAATCTGGTCGGTCACGCAGCTTCTGCGGGACAGGCACGGGAATGCAGACCTCTACTCTGTAGCATCGACCAGAAGGTAAAAGTTCAAATAGGCAGTGTGCTGGGTGTGAGGGGTCCAGAGGGATTTTGGCTGAGCTGTTTTTTAATGGCATGTTTTTTATTGTATTGTTTCAAGACAATTTTCAGCTTCATATTATTCCTTCAACTTGAAATCACTTAAATCACAGATCTCAAACTCGGTTCCTGGAGGGCCGCAGCTCTGCACAGTTTAGTTCCAACCCTAATTAAACTTACCTGATCCAACTAATTGAGTACTTTACACTTGTTTGATACCTACAGATAGGTGTGTTGAAGCAGGGCTGGAACTAAACTCTGCAGAGCTGCGGCCCTCCAGGATTTGAGTTTGACACCCCTGACTTAAAGGGATAGTTCACCCAAAAATGACAATTCTGGCATCATTTATGCACTCTTTACTTGTTCCAGTTCTGGTGCTGATGATTGGGAAGAGTGATGCTCGCTTTCTGTCCATATTTCTTCAGACAAAATCCCCCTCTATCCACCTTTTTATTGCCTGTTTGTCATATAAGCTAAAATTATCAAAAATGTGAAAAAACCAAACCTTATTGACCATCTTATCCCGGACGAGTCCCCATCAAATGCTACTACTTTTATGTTTTAGGTCTAAGAGTTAAGAGGTAAGGTATTAATTAATGTAATGGATGAACTAATAATAAAAGGTTTAGCTATAGCCCTGCCCTTAGATTGTAAAAAAAACTATGAATTTACAGTCTAGATCAGGTTTACAAGCTCAAAAGTCAAAACTGAAAGTCCATTAAGGAAAAATTAAACCCAAATTAAAAATCTAAAGAAATCAATGTGGTGTGTTTTTATTTATTTATTATTATTTTTTGTTTGTTTGTTGGTTGGTTTCGTTTTTTTGTGTATAGCCCATCCTAACTCAATTATCAAACTAAACCTATGCTCCATTTCTCTAACAAACACACAGACACAAACACATACTTTAGCCTCTGTATAGACCCAATACCTGCAGCTGAATGGTTCTTGCCGTTTACCAATCCATCTTTTTTCCTGGTGGATGGCCAGTGGGCATCAGACCCCGTATGATCTGCCAGATAATAACAGGTTATTTTAAGACCAAAACATGGAAGGCAAATGAAATAGTGTTATCATGGTGTTATCGAGAGATGCCAAGTAGGTCAGCAGGGCCGGCATTTGGTCGACAGTGCTCAAAAAATATATTGGAGAAAAGCTTTGCTGGAATTCAGTGGGTCGGATATAAAAAAAAATCAGTTCATTTTTCATTTTTTTATTTATTTTTTGAAAGCTCAGTCCTTAATCCTCGAAACAAAGCAAAAATGCAGACACATAAAGCTTAAAGCTTCAGTTCCAGACAGATGAATTCCCAGTCTTTGAATGAAATGATCAAACTTTGGATTATGAGTCTGACAGACCTTTAAACTCTTTGACATTTTAGTCTACGGACAGCACTGCAATACATGATCCCTGGATCAGAAAAGCAGTCAATGTTTGGAAATCAAGATTTATACATCAATTAAAAGAAGAATAAATAATATTTCCATTAATGAATGGGTTGCTAAGATAATTTTAAGATACAATAATTAAAAATCTGAGGGTTGTTTCCCAGACATGGGTTGCGGCTGGAAGGGCATCCACTTAGTAAAAATTTGCTGGATAAGTTGGCGGTTCATTCCGCTGTGGCGACCCCAGATTAATAAAGGGACTAAGCCGACAAAAAAATGAATGAATGAATGAATGAAACTGAGGGTTCAAAAAACTCTAAATATTGAGAATCACCTTCAAAATTGATTAAGTTCATGCCAAGTATATATTAGACATTTATATTAATTAACAAATATATTAATACATTTATTACTGTATTTATTCATCTTTGTTCATGCTAGTTAATGGAAGTAAAGTAGTTCATTGTTAACTCACAGTGCATTACCTAATGTTAACAAGCATGAATTTAGATTTAATAATGAATTAGTAAATGTTGAATTATGATTAATAAATGATGTGCAAGTGTTGTTCCTTATTAGTATACTTTAATAAATACATTAACAAAACCTTATTGTAAAGTGTGACTAAATTTACTAAACATCTTCATGGAAAATATTTCAAATTTTCTAGTGATTTTTGGATTTTTGACAGAATTTGCCCTCTCCTGTGGTTTGTAACATAATGGTCAGCACAAATGTCTTGATACCTCAGGCTGTTGATGTTGCCATCCACTCTGCAGAGCTCTCGCACACCCCCACACTGAATATAATCCCAAACTATGATTTTTCCTTCACCAAACTTGACTAAATTTTGTGAGAATCTTTGGTCCATGCGGGTTCCAATAGGTCTTCTGCAGTATTTGTGATGATTGGGATGATTAAACAGATGATTCACCTCAAAATCTAACTTCTGCCGCTTTTCCAAATGATCAACTCGAAGTCAAGTTATTATTTGTTGCTCTTACAACTGGGATCGACAACAAGACTTTTATCAGGCAGTGTATATTAATGCAACCTATCACACATTAGGGATGTAGATTAATACACTGCAAAAAATGCTTTTCATGCTTAGATTTTTTGTCTTGTTTCTAGTCTAAATATCTAAAATTTCTTATATCAAGAAGCATTTTTTAGAAAAGCAAAACATATTGCCTTGTTTTGAGAAATAATATGCCAATATTAAATCAGTTTTTCCTTAAAACAAGCAAAATAATCTGCCAATGGGTTAAACAAATTAATCTTGTTTTTTCTTTTGACGTAAGATTATTTCGCTTACCCCATTGGCAGATTATTTTGCTTGTTTTAAGGAAAAACTGACTTAATATTGGGATAATATTTCTCAAAACAAGGCAATTTGTTTTGCTTGTTTAGAAAATTCTTCTTGATTTAGAATTTTTAGATATTTGGACTAGAAACAAGACAAAAAATCTAAGTAAGAAAAGCATTTTTTAATGAACTGTTGATCAATTTTCATGTTTAAAATAAGCAGACAAACCTGTAGTCTCGTCTTCGGATGTCGATTGTAATTGGGACCTGTTATGTGTAAAGGAAAATATATAAGGTTGTTATAGTAACATTTAAACATTATACTCCAACAGCAAACATATTTAAAACTGTTGACAGACCTACACCCCTATTTTTTAAGTTTACACATGTTCAACTTCTTCCTAATCAAACAAACAACACATCAGAATCAACTCATCAGAACACTAGAAGGGACTTCAAAACCTAAAATGAACTAGTCAGATAATGGAGACAAATTTTATAAATCTTAACTAAAATAGTTACAAAAGTTGATGCTTGGAAGCAGTTCGGACACAGCAGACTTGCATGTTAAGTAATCAGTGACACTATTGGGCAATGCTGCTGTTGTCAGAGCTCAAGAAGAACAGATGCTTGTTAGATAAACAGATTACATAACTAGCTTTAATGACTTAAGACTAGTAGCCTATTCTCTGTCGGCTGTTAAGAGAAAGCAACCCTTCATGAATCACAGAGTCAGTTCAGGTAAACGAATTTGAATGTGCTTGAATCATTTGGACATTTCACTCATTCACTAGAGAGGTTTAGTGAGTTTAAATGCTAATCTTCCATAAGTAAACATAATCCATATAGCATAAAAATCTAGTCTTTTTTGTGTGAATATTACTCAGAAGTTCGATTAGTAAACCACATAATTGACATAGACACACTAAAGATAATCTGATTGACATAACTTGCTTTAAAATGTAAAGGTATTAAAACAGAATGCTCAAACGAAATGCACCTGCTATTCTAGCATCAACCATACAGTAGCATTAAATGGGTGACTTAGACCAGTAACTAAATCCCTCACACTTGTCCCAATTAATATAATCCTAATCCAGCTCCCGCATTCTATCATAAAACACAGCATACGGCACTGCATGAGCTAATGTGGACACTTAATTTCGAAAACTCTCGCACTGAATCGAACTATAGTTTCAGAAAAAAAGATATCTGTTATTGTTTACAGAAAAAGAAAGGGTTTTAAGAAAAGTATTATTTTGTATAATCTTTATATAAATATCTGAAATCATTTCCTTTATTAAAATAAGCGTTCTATGAGTCTTAAATATTATAAATGTGTACAGAGAGATCCAGAACTTACTTCTTCTTAGCTTTTTCCAGTGTCTTACTTTCACGAGTTTTACTTGTGTGAGTCTCTGGAAGCTTCTGTAATGAGAAACCAAAACATATTTAGTGTTTGTCTTCATTTTTATTCAGAATATACCAGTCATGCTGGATAAATTGGCGTATATCCACCATTATTTTTGTAGACTTTTAAATCACTAACAGAGTTGACGTTTTTAACCATTTTGTGCTTTAGCTCAAACCAGATATCACATGGCATGTCTAAAACAGAATTTCCATCATATTATTGTTTTAAAAAAGTGAATGAGAAATTCACTACAATATCACACACAACAGGGTTGGCACATGTTTAATCTGCTATTGGTTTATCCGAAATATTTTGTGCGTAACAATGAGAGAAGAATAATGTCATGCCTCAATCCCTATTTCCCACCAGAGGATGTGACATCACTTTGAGCAAGTTACATACTTACATACTTAGTGCCTGAGGTGATCATTGTCATTGTAGTTTATGCTGTTGTTTTGCCATGACTTTAACACTGAATATAGCCCATCATCAGTACCTGAAGTGATCATTGTCATTGTAGTTTATGCTGCTGTTTTACCGCATCTTTAAAGCCCATAATTAGTGCCTGAGGTGATCATTGTCATTGTAGTTTATGCTGTTGTTTTGCCATGACTTTAACACTGAATACAGCCCATAATCAGTACCTGAAGTGATCATTGTCATTGTAGTTTGATGTTGTTTTGCTGTGACTTTAACACTGAATAAAGCCCATAATCAGTACCTGAGGTGATCATTGTCATTGTAGTTTATGATGTTGTTTTGCCACTACATTACCGCTGAATAAAGCCCATAATTAGTAGCTGAGGTGATCATTGTCATTTTAGTTTATGCTGTTGTTTTGCCAGTACATTTACACTGAATAAAGCCCATAACCAGTAGCTGAGGGGATCATCATCATTGTAGTTTGATGTTGTTTTACCGCTACTTTAACACAGAATAAAGCCCATAATCAGTACCTGAGGTGATCATTGTCATTGTAGTTTGTTGTTTTCTTTTAGTTGCAACTTTTAACACAGAATAAAGCCCATAATCAGTACCTGAGGTGATCATTAGCTGCTTTTCCACTATCGTGCCAAACCGTTCTAAGAACACTTCGGTACGGTTACGGTTGTTTCTCCACTGAGCCTGGAACGGCGCGGCACGATTACAAACCGTTATTGGCCCGGAATTCTCGGCACGGTTAGACAACCGTGCTGAACTGTGCTGACAGATTCTGTGTGTTGACGTCGCGACTCGGTTGCTAAGCTACCACAGCTGGCTCAGCAGAAGCGCGCTAGCCATCAGACATCCTCAATAAACTACAGTACATTTAATATAAAATAATGATCCAGGTCTAAACGATACAGTTTGAAAAGGGTTTTAAAACCATAGAGCAGTCTCTGGCAGAGAAGTGAATAACTCATCACATTCTTACAAAGATATTTTATTCATTAAAGTTATTATTTTATTGACTTGAATACAGACCTACTTCGCCTGCCTGAATGCGAGTTTATTGCACGCAGCGCTGTATTTCACAGCACAAAACTCGCTCTGATCCGGGAGAGACATGCCAGCGACTTGCGCTGCTGACTTTTTTTCCTGCTGCGCATCGAATAAAGCGAATAAAGTCACGCTTTGCATCGTCGATGTCCAAATTCCACAACAACATGACCCATGAAACACGAACTTGCAGACTCTTTAAACAACGAGGAAATAATTGCACTTTTTAATTCAAAGCCAGGACAGCTTGTTAATAACGGCGAGACCACCTGAAGGACGGCGTGTTCGTGTTGTAATGTCGGCCGTCCAAAAGACTTTGCTTGAAAGCTTTACGGAGCGGCACTGTAACTGTCCAAGGTACTGTTGTATGATTTATATTATAGCATATGCACTAATAAACAAGTCAAAAGAATTAATGAATTAAATAAATATGGATTCTTAAATGTCAGTATTGCTTTTACTCAAAAAATATCAATACGTTTTGACAAATGTTTTATAAAAATAAAATGATCAATTTTCATCATTTCAGCTATGGGCAATTATAGGATTCAGTTATACATAAGTTATATGACATTTCTGAGGCATTTAACATGTTTCTGTGTTTTTGTTTTTTTGTGGTGATCTTTAATATAGCTACGCAAATATTTTCTAAAACGTCAAGCAATAATTCGCCTACAGCTTGTTAGTTAATTATGAACACAAAAATAATTATAATAATGAAAATAAAATGATCAAAATAAAAAGATAATAGAGCAGCATTTTGCTAAATATAATAGTGCTTTATATGCTTTAAATCCTGCATTATATGTGTTGTTTCATATTCGTTTTTATTTCACTTGCTGCATTTGTTATTTAATGTTTGAATAGTAAAACAAATAACAGCCATCGCTTAATTGGTTTCATTTTACCATCAAAATGTAGTATATTTTATATCATTATCAACTTTTGATATAAAAACGCAGTGTAATTTAATTAATTGATAAAAATGAAATATTTATGTGCTGTGTTTTTATTAGTGAAAGTGCCCGCTCACCTTTGACAAGGCCTGTCCAAAATTATATTTCTGCGACTATAATGCAAATGCACTATTATTGTTGTCTTATCATTGTTTATTTTTCTGTTATGTTCAGAGATTTTAAACATTATTTATTTCCCCTCCAATTATTTTCAATCATCACGTTACATTTTGGTCATTTTCCCTCCAAATAAAATTTAGCCAGAGCTGCGCAACATGTAAATAAATAAGGGTGCACATTTAGCACTCCTATTCGATAGAGCGGCATAACAGTGTTTAGTCACATGGTTGCTTTTGCTTTTATGAAAAAAAAAAAATAGTTTCGGCTCTTATTTAACTTTAATTGAACAAAGGGAGCCGTTTACATTGCGTTACCAAGGCAACTACTGATGCGTTTTGTGTAATGTTTTAAAGAGCTTTGTCGCAGCACGACAGTGGAAAATGAAACCGTATCCGTGCCTGGGTCGGTTTGGCACGGAATGGAACAGTTCTGTTTAAAGAACGATTCAGCACGATAGTGGAAAAGCGGCTAAAGTTATTGTAGTTTGTGCTGTTGTTTTGCTGCATCTTTAAAGCCCATAATCAGTGCCTGAAGTGATCATTGTCATAATAGTTTATGCTGTTGTTTTGCCTTGACTTTAACACCGAATAAAGCCTATAATTAGTATTTGAAGTGATCATTGTCATAGTAGTTTATGCTGTTGTTTTGCCTTGACTTTAACACCGAATAAAGCCTATAATTAGTATTTGAAGTGATCATTGTCATAGTAGTTTGTGCTGTTGTTCTGTCACAGTGTTCCAGAAATAGAAAGCATTTCTAAAATAGAAATTTCATTTGTCGTCATTGTGTATGGTTAAATCAATTTTAACATGTTAAAGATGGCTTTTATCACTCGTTGCGGATTTGTTTCACTTGTAGTTTTAGCACGGTGTAATTATGAAGTATAAAATGTCATAGTTTATGATATTTTGCTATTCTCACTTACATTATTAAACTACAACTACAATCTCCTGCACCCACTAGTAAAAAACCCAAAAAGGATATTTTGTCTGAATGATTTTTTATTTGACTGTATATGAGACTGACATTCACTCAAAATATGACGTTTGTTCAAACTACGTATTTAAAATGAGCCTAAACAACACAATTCTTGAGGTTTTTTGTGGGGACAACTTAATGGTTCAATGTTCAATCCACTTAAATTTGTAAAATCCAGTAAGTTAATTCCTTCATGTTGTCCCAACACAAATCGATTGTGTGGAACCCAGCTTTTTTTTACAGTGTAAAGCACATTATACACATACTGTCAGCTCATGCTAGATCTGCTCAGGACAGAAAGTCATTCTGGGATTTTGGTAATTTCCTAATGAGAGCGACCCGCTGCACTCTCAGATTAATCAGCGGTTTATACAGGTGGCAGCACTTTTGCTTATTAATATTCTGCTCAATGTCACAATGTCGACTCTCATGAAATAACATGTGAATTGTCTTGCATTTTTAGGCACATGCCGATGAACCCACCGTGGCGATGCAAGGCTCGGATCCACTCCACAATCCCATGTTCTTCGCACAGTTAGGGCTGAACGGCCTTCTGGGTAAAGAGTCTTGACTGCTCTGACCAATCTGAGCCGGTTCATACAGGCTGTCTGTTGAGCCATCCTGGAACAAACACAAAGTAAGAAATACAAAAAGACATTCACTTTAAGAAACATGAGCCAGCAAAGTGTCTGTATTTTAACAATTTGGTTCAAATTACACCTCAAATTGTTTTTAGAAATGATATATTTAGATCAATCCAAACAGTGAAACTACATTAGCTGTAAATAATGTAGATAATTTGAGTAGAAAATGGAAACTTTTTTTTTTTTTTACTTAAAATTGTCATGTTTAATTGTTTGTGTGTGTGTGTGTGTGTGTGTGTGTATATTTAAAGAATATATATAATTTTATCAAACTTAATTTTAATATAAGATTGGACTTATTTTAGGCACAACAGTTTTATTGTGCTTAATATTTGTAGTGCACATAATTTTGCTGTTTACTGCTTTACTATTTATTGATTTTTGTATTGATTTTTGTATATTAAGTGGATCTAAATGAAAAATGTTTTCCCCGGCAACTTGGTGATTGGTATTGTTTTTATATCTGTGTTTGTATATTAATATTTGAGTAAATATTTTAACCTAATTGCAAAATATATTAGTTTAGTTTTTATAGTATGTCGCATTGAACTAAAGAAAACATTTACATTTATTGTTTTATTTTTGTAATTTATTACATTTTATTTTATTTTATTTTAATTTAACACATTATTACATTATATATTACATTATATATATATATATATATATATATATATATATATATATATATATATATATATAAATTATTTTTTATATATATATTTAAAAGTATGTACATAGTTTTATTAAATTATTAATAAATTAAAATATTATTAAATTAAAATATTAAATTAGTTTTTTTTTGTTACTTTTAGTCAATTAAAATTATATAGAAGTATTGATCACGTCTCTCAGAAAACATATTTCTAAAGGTGCTGTTGACTTGAATTTTCCCCAGATGTTGATAACAACCAAAGAAATACCTGTATGCAAAGAAAACAACTCTAAGTAGTTTAGAAATGAAGTAATGTGTAATAAAATAAAATGGCGCTGGGGAAAAAGTATTGAACACATGAAGAAAGGGAGGTTTGGAAAGGCAGTGAAAGCCCAGACAGCAGCTGAAATCTCTCAGTAGTTCTTCAGCAATCCTCTGCCCTTCCTCAGTGTACATGAATATCAGCTGCTTCAGTCCAACATCTACATTAACAGGAGGATGAAGTTGAACCCAGGGTGGACATTTCACCAAGACAATGATCTAAAACAGCCAAGAAAACTCTCAGATGCTTTCAGAGAAAGACAATCAAGCTGTAGAATGGCCCAGCCAATCACCCGACTTGAATCCAATATAGAATACTAAATAAAGATCAGATTTGATAGACGAGACCCACAGAACCATTAAGATTTTTACACTTCATTGAAGTCTGTGTAAAACTCACACCTGAGCAATGCATGTGACTTCATTCTCCAAATGAGAGGCTTCCTAAAGCTGCCATCACCAAAAAAACCTTTATGTAAAGTATTAAATACATTTCAGTAGTTCAGTACTTTCTTCTAGTGTCATTTCATTATTACACAACCAATTTTTTAGATTTTTTTTTTTATCTTTGTATTGTTTGGGTTTTTACCAAAATCTGGTTCAGTTCCATGTCAACAGCTTCTTTAGAAATATTATTCCCTGGAAAAAACATTTACTTGAGTAAAGATCAGATTTGCTGTTTTATCCACCTTAATATTAATGTAAGATTGTACTTGGAATTTCAATCATAAAAGCATTAGATGAATGCTTTTCATTGTGCACATTGTTTTACTGTTTACTGCAACTCATTTTAATCATTTTAAATAATTATTTTTTTTTTGAATCTTTAAGAAAATAAAGCATGATTGTCCTGAGACTTCAATCATGCACGTTCAGCTATTATTATATGGATGTATCAG